GCCTTCCTTAGGAGACGCAGCGAAAGCTTTAACACATTGAGCGATTGTAGTTGCCAGATAGGGAGCAACGTGTGGAAGTTGTTTGGAAGGCGTAGACGAGAGGCGCTGGGTGACCACTCGCAGTGGATTGAACGCATCCTGGGGTGCCATGATCGTCTCCTTGTGAGCACCTCGAATCGACTAAACGCATCATCTAGTGCTTTGCCCTTTCTCATACAAGGTTGCTGCGAGTCAAAGGACAAAAGCTGGAAGAGAGAGATTTTTGGCTTGGCGCTCAGTATTGCCGTAGCCAAAAATACACGTAATCAATCCCACCATGGTTGGCGCTAACTACTAATGGGGGAGTTCGCGCTCTGACTTTGGTGAAATTTATCAAGAATGAGCTCTCTACCCACCCAATTGGCCATTGGTAGAGAGAGCACTGCCTAGCAAATAGGCGGATTCTAGTCTCATGGGGCCATGCTGAGCGTCAGTATCCTCTTTCAATCGCCATGTCAATGCAGCTGACGAGAGATTCAGCAAAGAGAGCCAGACAAAGCTCGGCACTATCTCGATCTTCTCGATGCTGCTCGTTGTGACGGCCACTGGCAGGAGATCACAGAGCTGACACGGAAGGTTGGGAAGCATGCGCCCCAACGCAAATGTTCGTATACTGTGCACAACCTGCAACGTTTCATTCATGTTCTCGCGCGTCACGTTGATGAGAGAAAAGCTGAACGGCGCCATCTCTAGGCCTCATTCTTACTGCACAGACCGAACGCCGCATAGCTGAAGTATCCGGCCGACCTATCACCTCTTCATCCGCGACCGCTCTGTCCCAGTTGATACCCCCCCTACAAGCTGCGACCGAAAAAGAGAAAGCATTCAATGAAGACGCATTCCAAGCACAGATATGTTTGGGATGGATACATTCGACCGTTGGGGACCCTACCCTGGCACTTTCGATTCTGCCGCCGACTTTCGATCGAGTCTCTGATCGCTTGAGCCGAGATGGAGGGATCACCGCGCGATGGACACAGGTGTGTATCATCAAAGGCGCCTATTTACGTGGTACGTATGCATGCCCAATTTGGTCAGACAGGAACAGTTGCTCAAGGAACCAGGTCTCTCGCTGGAGGAAACGAACAGTCTGGGGGAGGCGATTCGGACTTATGAGTCAATGCTGCCGTACATCACAAGCCTACCTTCCACATTTGCAAATACTCCGGAAAATCGGTACTGGACAGAGAGTCTTCTTACTCGCCACTGTATGCTTTCTAGCCGTCACGTTTCAGCCAACCAAGTGTCACCTTCGATACTGGCAGTGCCACCATCGAGGGTTCTTGCACCCTTTCGCGCGTATTCAAAATATTGGGATACCAAAAGTGCATTGATCACGGGTACGCTTTTCAAGGCCGGTGACCGGCATAACTCCTACATGCGTACATGGGGTCATTATTACGACACGCTATCTATCTTGTTACAGCGTGAGACCACCCAGCACGTCTTCGACTCCAGGTTACAACAAGGCGTAGAGCTCAAGAAAGTCGAAGCCACCTATGAAAGTATCCTTCTTAAAGAAACCTCATTTCCAAGGGCAGATGAAGCCAATTCACAAATTGAAAGCTGGGTCGATCAGGTAATGGCGAATTGGGGGGTTATGTGCGGTCATACATGGCAAGACGAAGAGCTTGGAGAAGGGGGCAAAGCTGCTTTAGGCCGCGGAGTGCTTGACGTAGGTCGCTTTCTGGATAGCAACAGCTTTAAAGGACATGGTAATGGCCCACGAAAAGGAGCGCTAACAGTACCGTTCACAGGTCCTCTATCGAGCAGCTACCAAAAGCTTTCACTCGACAAGGGTACTTCGCCACCTTTTCATTGTACATGCAGCTATAGCAGAATTTGATGTTGCTACCAAAGCACTCGATTCTTACCTGCAGATACTCGTCAAGGGCAAAGCAAGAGTGGAGAATTCTGGAGAGCCGGAGATAGGCCTCGACGACGACGAAACTTCCTTAGCCACAGCCGCTGCAGGTATCAAAATGCTGTGCACTTACGGACGGCGAAAGGAAGCTAAGAGGGCCTTGGGTATTGCTCATGTTACAGAGAATTGGCTTCAAAGGTTGCATTCAACTTCATCGCCAAAGCCTGTTGTAAGTGGTGAAGATGTACCTGAGGACTTGGTAGATCAACAAAAACCATCCAGACCTCCTGTTTCAGGGAAAGCTTTGGCTCTTGGATACCATGCTCTAGGTATCAGTCAATCCTGCTGGGCGCGGCTGACTTACGAGACTGCATCGCGACCAGACCTACAGGCAAAGGCGATAGCTGACTTCCGAATTGCTTTGGATCCTGAGTTTGGAGAGGAACGCAACGTCGAATTCCTTTATTCGCTTGCGTTCGTACTTGCGGAGACCAGAGATTTGGATGGTGCTATCGCCGCCACCAAACAAGCGTTGTCTGCCAGCAGCCGTGGGCCCAACACGAACGGGGTTTCTGCAACAGATTTCGCAGGTGACAGCGTTGAAGACGGATCGGACTTTGATCCAGACAGACGAGGACTCCTGCTTAGGTGTTGGCATCTTCTAGCCCTGTTGCTTAGTGCGAGGCAGAACTTCTCGACAGCAATAGCTTCCTGTGAAGCAGCTCTCGAGATATATGGGGGCAAAGCGATCCTTTACGGAGACCTCAAGCTACTGGATTCGCTGAAAGACCTGGAGTGGTCGGAAAGGAAGAATATCATAGAAGTGAAGATGACCCAGCTTGCACTCGCAGAGGTTGTGGACGGCCCGGAGGAAGCTGTCAATGCTAGTGGAGAGCTACTAGGTCTCTACACCAAGCTTTTTAAGTCCCCAGATAAGCCACTTGAAAGAGTGATTTCATCTCCTGCAAACACCAATGGGACATCGACACCGCGAAGTTTCAGAGCTAGCGTTTTAGGCCTACCATCTCGAAAGAATACCGGCAGAGTTGAGAACACGAATTCAAGCTCGTTGCCATCTTCTGAAGCCACTGACCAGGCTATTCAGGCGCCGACTATCTCAGTAACCAGTGACACGGCTTCAACACTGCAGGATTCGAACCATCACTCACATTTCCTCGGGCGACATGAATCGAAGAAGCTCCGCAAGCGCAACAGCCGAAAGAGCATGGGCAGCATCCGAAAAGGTCGAGCTGCAAGTCCTCCCAGGACCTCTACAGCGGATGGATCTCGAAAGCGCATAAGCTTAGGTCTTCCCACAAGACATCGACACAATAAAACTACACCAGCAGATGGACATGGCGATGGCTCCGTCTACGAGGACGGCAGCTACGCTTCCGATGAAGTTGGCGTTGCCATCTCCCACGATATGCCCTCGATGCCTTCGTCTCCAGCAGCTGTATCCGACCCGCCCAACCCTCTCCACTTCATCCCCTCAGCGACTGCAAACATGGACAAAAAGAACCCCAATACCTACCCTGTCGCCCCCAAGCCGCCACCTTCTCAACGCCAACGCCCTCAGCCGATAACCCTCCACAAGTTTCCTCCCCTTGCAGAACCACAATTCTCTCCGGCAGACCAAAGCCGCCATACTCTAACCCTCCTCACAAAGATCTGGCTCTTGATAGCATCACTTTACCGCCGCGCCTCCATGCCTACCGACGCTCAAGGCGCCCTCTCAGAAGCCACCACTCATGTGCAATCGATCGAAACCTTTATATCGAAACGCGAAGGCAGCAGCGCTGAAAACTTTGCTATGCCAGGCTACGGTGGGGTTAAGTCCTGCGGCGAGCTGTGGGCTGACGTGCTTGCTGAACGAGCGGCTTTACACACCTCGCTGGGAAATGTCGACCAAGCGTCGGCGGCATACGAAACGGCACTGGGACACTTCCCAGATCACGCGGCCGCGACCGTCGGCCTCTGCAACATCCTTCTAGACGCCTACTCCGCCCCACCTCCCACTGTCACCCCTGCCATCCCAATCGAACCACCACCCTCGACGCCCACGCTTGCTTCCCTCCCTCCCCTGCCCTCCCAGCAAATTAACATTACCACCCACAACAACTCCGACAGCACCACCACACCAGATCGACTATCCAGACTTGCAGCTCGTGATCGAGCCTATGGTCTCTTATCCGCACTGACCAAGAGTGGAACGGGGTGGGATAACAGCGAGGCGTGGTTTGCGCTGGCCAGGGCGTACGAGGAGGGTGGGCAGGTGGAGAAGGCGAAGGAGAGTTTGTGGTGGGTTGTGGAGTTGGAGGAGGGAAGGGGTGTTAGGCGGTGGGGAAATATTGTTTAAATAATGATATCAAGAAGGGAAAGCGGGATGGATGATGAACAGTGAAGACTTAAACCGTAGGCTTTTGACGCACCATGTATACAAAACCCAACCTTGACGTTGCAAATGTTACCACCTATGCCTGTGTTTTTAGGTAGAAAAACATCCAAGTCATCCCAACCCAAAACAATCCACCATCTCCAACCAAAGCAAAAACAGGCGCATCAACAACAATCCAAACCCCCCCCTCATTACCACCTCATCACCCAACACGAAAAACAACACGATCCCACACGACCCAACCAGCCTCCAGGCATGAGACCCCCCAAAAAAAAAATAAAAAATACATTAGATAAAGTAAGCAGCCAGGGAAGCGATAAAAAACCGAGGAGTGTAAGCAACCGTTCTTCAGAAAGGCTTAGGTAGAGGAGAAGGCTTTAGGTATATAGGATCCAAATGACGGATATTTCAAGCTTAGGGAAAAGGGGGGGGGGTGGTGACGGTAGCTTCAGGGGTAGGAGCTTGTGGGTTGGGAGTCTGGTGGCGGGGGGAGGGGAGGGAGAGAAGGGAGGTTTGGGTCAACAAGGCATTGTGGAGTTGGTCGTTGAAATGATGTTATATCCTGAGGATTCGTCATACATAGTCATGATCATGCTCACGTAGCTTTAACGTTGTCCCAATCGCTGATGTTTCTCCGCATCCTTCCAAACTTTACGGCTTTTTCCTTCCATATCTCTACGTTCCTGGCAAAGCTCAAGCTCAAGCGGCGGCTGCCACGGCACGGGGAAGCTCACCCATCTCGTCGATAGAGCCCTGAATCGCCTTCTCTTCCTCCAGCACTCTGAGGCCTGCTCTCTCGGCTCGGCTGTGGAGTCCCAGCTGCTCATCTGTCCACAACGGCTCCACTGCTTCCGCATCAACCCCTACACCTATAAAGCCACCTTGCGCTGCCCAATCAGCTGTCCTTTTGATACTGAGCTGGTTCCAGACCGCGTCCAAGGCTATTACCAGCTCTGTTTGGTACTTCTCGACGTGGCCAGGCGTAGGGGTGAAGCGGAGGCGTTCTTCGCCGACAGGAACGGTAGGGTAGTTAATGGCTTGAACGTAGATGCCCCAATCTTTCAACAGCAGGTCGGACGCTTGTTTAGCGAGCTCCGCGTTGCCGACGAGGACCGGGATGATATGACTTGGGTTTGGCATGACTGGTATACCCTTTTCGACCAAAGCCTGCTTAGTCGAGCGAGTATGCACTTGTTGCAAGCGGCGATCGCCTTGGAAGTCCATTTGGTACTCAATCGCTGTCTTCGCGCCTGCCATCGTCGCAGGTGGGAGGGAAGTGGTGAAGATGAAGCCAGGTGCGAGCGAGCGAATGGTATCGACCATCTTGGCTGAGCCTGCGATATAGCCACCAACGCATCCGTAGGCCTTTCCGAGAGTGCCGGTTATAATGTCGATGCGATCCATAATCGTGCCCTTTGGTCGACCAGCGACATGGGCTTCATAATCTAGGTGTTCTGCAACGCCAGCGCCGTGTGGTCCGTACATGCCCACAGCATGAACTTCATCTAGAAAGGTAATAGCGCCGTATTTGTCGGCAAGGTCACAAATCTCCTCGATAGGTCCAATAGAACCACACATGCTGTAAACAGACTCAAAAGCGATGATCTTAGGGACGTCTGGGGGTAGAGAAGCAAGCTTGGCTTCTAGGTCTGCAAGATCGTTATGTTTAAAGACGAGCTTTTTGGCGCCAGAATGGCGGATGCCTTGGATCATAGAAGCGTGGTTCATGCTGTCGGAGAGGATGACGCAATTTGGGAGTTTGCTACCCAAAGTAGCGAGAGTGGCATCATTGGCGACGTAGCAGGAGGAAAAGACTAGAGCTGCTTCCTGCGCGTGCAGGCGGGCAATGGTCGATTCAAGGGCTACGGCATGTTGGTTGTGACCGGAGATGTTGCGGGTCCCTCCCGCGCCGGAACCGTAGGTATCCAGAGTTTCATGCATCGTCTTCAAAACTTCCGGGTTGCGGCCCATGCCTAGGTAGTCGTTGGAACACCAGACCGTGACGCGCTCGTCCCGGGTTGTCATGTGGGCTTGAGGAAACTCTTGAGCGAGGCGATTGATATTGTTGAAGTAACGATAGGATTTGTCTTTGTGCTTCTTGTCCAGCTCGGTGTTGTAGAAGCCTTCATAGTCGAATGTGGCCAGTTTTGGAGCCGCAGGTTTTGGACCTGGAGCGACAGCTTCTGGTTGGACCTTGGTTTTCGGCTTCTGGGTATGATGGATAGGCACTGCTCGCAACGTCAGTCAATGGGTACTCCCAGAAGATAGGCTAGCTTGACGTACCATGCAACTTATCCCTCAAAGTGTCAGATGCCACGGACGCTTTCTGAGGCCTCGAAGTATGGATCTTTGCCTTCCCACCGTAGGCCCGGACCCCACCAAAGACGCCATTTAAAGGATTGGTGCCGGTCTTTGCAGCCTGGGCATTCATTGCCTTGCCCATGACAGGGCAGCGACGAGCGAGGACCTGGAGATTGGACATGGTTCCTCCACCGGGAGAAACATGGCGAGTGGTGGTGGAGAGGGATCGAAGGGTGGCGGGAGATGTCTTGTTGAGGAAGGGGCACATGGAGCGGGATTGCCTCAGTAGAGCCTCCATTGTGAAGATTAGGTTCTAGTACCGTAGTATGGCTGTTTGTCTGTGCAATTGACAGTTGGATAGTAGAGTTGATGGTGTCAATAATATCCAAACATACGGTGACCGGCTGATTTGTCGGATGTTAGCCGTAAACCCGTGACGTGCGAAGGCTAAGGTAAGCACTAAAGTACCATCGAACCAAAAAAAAAACACAAAGAAGAAGGCCAATCACAGCAATTTGAATGTCAGGCTGAGTCAGACACCAAGTCCTAAGTTAAGTCAAGTCCTTTGTTTACCCATATTCATCCTACCAGCATTCGAGGATCGGTGACCGCCAAGTTATTAGAGTATGAGAATCAGTGATCGACGCCAAACCCACCAGAACTGTCGACTTTCAAAGATTTACTCTAGTCAGCAGCACGCAGAGACAACAAGACTCGAGTCAAACATAGAACGGTAGTCCGTACACTGTATGCTGTGACTTACATTTCCATCTCTGTGACAGATCTCCTCCTATGAACTGACCGGTAGGTCAATCTCGGCCGTGCCGTGGGAAACCCGCCTTAGGGGTTGGAGAGTCCCGGAGTAGCAGGTGCGCATTGATGCATCAGCAGCCCCGCGGGTGCGCGAGCTCTCGGATGTGGACGATGTGGTTTAATGCGCGCAAAAATGCACGATCCTTCTAACAATGAACGGAAATACTCGCACTGCGGCACTGCCTCATTTCTGCGAGACAGCGTTTCGCAGATCTCATTGCTATCGGCCCACGCCATGAGCCATTATCGCTCGCTACTGATATAACAATGATCCACCACCTCAACTTTATTCGTTCAAGATACTTCCACAATCCAACTGACCACGTATTACAATCATACCAGATATACGAAACCCGCCATGTTCGGATCTACCAAACCACTTCGAACACTCAATGTGTATGACAAAGGCAGCACCTACACCATCCTCGACACCGACGATGCGACTCTCCTCTACACCGTCCGCTGGAACGCCAACTCCGCCCCTCACATGACAGTGTTCCACGCCGATGACCGCAACAAAATCGCCGGCACCGCCACCTATCACGCTACCAAGAAGTTCGGGTTCTCCACAGCCTCGAACATCACCCTCAAGCTCCCCTCCGGTACCGTGTCGATGAACAAAGAAGGCGGCCTGTTCTCCACCGACAAACGCACTCTTCGAAGCGCAGGGTTGGGGGAGGTGTATTGGAAGGGAGGATATTCCGAGACCGGATTCATGAAGCTCGTGGATGGAAACGGGAAGAGTTTGGTTGAGTATAAGGATATGAGAATGAGCATGAAGACGATGGGGATTTTGGAGATAAATGTGGAGCTCGGACAGGAGGGATTGGATGAGGTTGTTGTGAGCGGAATTGCGATGCTGTCGGAGGAAAGGACCAGTATGAGTGCCACTGGCGCGGCGATGAGTCAATCTTGAGAACTTTTCCCAAGATCTGCCGGAAGTAGGTGTCTGAAGCTCTATTCGTCTCGATGTAACGTGTATTTCCATCGTAGTCATTGCAAGATTGTCAAATGGATGCAGATGCGTAAGCTCCTATCGTTTCTTCTTCTTTCCAGCCATTGGTCCTTTTATCTTTGGAAACACTAATGGCAGTCTCAGCCTCGCAATGCGATGGCCCACTCCTTCACCCTTGGTGATCTTCAACCTTTCCCTCTCCACTTCTGTAGGCGGAGTGACAGCACACCCAAGTTCTTTGAAGTATTTCTGAACATCCTTGGCTTCCAGCTTCAGGTCTTCGCGGATGTCGTGCATGTCCGTTTCAAAATTGTCGATGGTGAGCGCCAGGGCACAGATATGCGTTATGAGGTTGTCCGAATGCCATTTGTTGAGCTCGCTGGGGCGTCGTTAGCAAAGTGTCTGGAGTGACAAGATACGGGTCAAACATACCCTCGGTCAGTAAATCTCCTCCCGACCCCACGCACAACCTCACTCCCGTACTGCTCTATCAAGGGTCCCATTTCTTCGTCTCTCGGCACCTTCTTTGCTGCTCTGGGACCCAGCTTCAGGCCCTTTTGCCACTCCAACAATAACAGCATATATGTCAGCGTCCTCACCGTCTTAACATCAGCGCTCTGCACCACGGCTCTCAATCGTCTGCTGACGAATAGACTTTTCGTTTGCACGGTCTCCCCAGCGTTCACTTTGTCCATCAACTCCTGCACGTTCATATTCCTCAGAACATTTGTACCGCCAACAAGCTGCTCGACTGGATAGACCTCGGCCGGCGTCTCAGCGGCCAAGTTTGGCTTTGGTATGGGCTTGTTTTCATCGATGTCGGCCTGCATCTGTTCCCGAGAAGGCATAGACGATGTGGATTGGGTCATTGACGACACAACAGCGGAGGCAAGAGGATCAAGAGCTCGACCTGTTCCAGAGGTCTGGGACTTCGATTTCGTAGGAGAAGCCTTGATGGCATTGGCAGTAAGGGCACGGATAGCTTTCTGTGACTTCTTGGTGCCGAAGGCGAGGCCGAGATTGGAGCGAGCGGACAGGTTGGTCGGTGCATCTTTCTCACTATCGCTGCCCTTCTCGTCATGTTCAGATGAGCGCAGAGTGCTCCGGATAACCAGTTTCCGTGATTGCACAAGCTGCAGTTTCCCAGTCTCTGGGTCGTAGACTCCAATGTAGTGCTTCAAGTGACTTTCTGACCTATTGGAAGACTCTTCGCGTGCTATAAAATCGAGCGTAGGGTGCGCAGAAGAATGTAGCAGAAGCTCTGGAATTGGTAAAGAGGGTGTAGAAGCGTCTTGTCTGGCTTTTGTGTAAGGTTTCATGGAGAGGTTTGAGGATATGTTAAGGCCTGGCGTAGACGCTGTGGATAGTCAGTCGAAGAGCGATGGTATTTGTTAGTATGATTACAGCCAGCAAAAGCTCTAGCTGCACTCACCCAGCACAGGCACCCACTCATCGCCGTCTTCGATCACGGAGACTTTAATGTTCTGAGAAGGGCGTTCTGCCGCAATCTTCTTGGAAGGTCGCCCATCAGGCCTCTCTTCATGCCTCTTACGCTTCTTCTCAGACATTTCGTGCTGATGAGCCACCAGTGGAGCGCTGGGTATCGAAAATAGGAATGAAAGACTTTGCGGGAAAAGCTAGCTACAGGGCTGTTACTCTAGTGCAGAGCCAATATAGCAGCCCTGAAACACCTCTTATTCGAGCATTTCTTGTATGCCCTTATCCTGCGGTTCACGTCGTCTTATGACAGCCTCTTTCGAAGTCTTGACACGCACGAGAGGGCTTGTAAACTAATTTTTTGAGTATATGGAACTCTGTGTGCATGAGTCCCCATACTTATGTACTTGTATCTAGCTTCAATCCGTGGGCCATTTAGACTAAGATTACCTGTACACGTACGAGTACATTACAGGCTGCCGCTCTTTGCGAATTATTAACGAACCCCGCGAATTCGACTTATCCCCCGCCAAGATAAAAGACTGAAACTATACGCAGACCGGGTAAAAATGTCATGTTTCTTTCTTTGACCGCTAGGTCCAGTCCTCGGGAGCCGTCGTTTCAGACAGATTAAGACTTCCGGTGCGGGCCTCAGCCGTGATCAATGCTTGAATCGTCCCCCATTTTTTTTCCTTCCAATTCTGTACTCTGACTCTTTAAATTTCATATGGAGGAGTTCTCCACTTTTGCTCCGCGCTGGAGGAGTACATAGAGTACGGTGAGCGAGTCTGACGCTTCTACTTTCTTGATATACCCATGATGGCCAAATAGCGTGCCGGACGCCGCCCCGTGTTCAGCCCCTGGAGGCCCTGAATGAACCCTGCAGGCTTGGGGCGACTCATCATCTAATCTGGTTACGGATCTGTGCTTACTTTGCGTACACCCTTCTCAAACACCGGTGACACCATATAATCGTTGGTGGTTGCATCTAAAATCCTAGTGCCATCCGGACGTAGATGGACTTGCCTTTACAGCGGCTGCGCAGGAAAACGTGGCATAAAGCGCACTAACAGTCTGCTCTGCACTCATGGCGAGCGAACGACCGGCTTTCAAGACGGTAGAATAGATCCCTCGATGATTGAATCTCCAGAATCCTGTAGCCTTCTGGCTTCAAACCTGGCAAGGCCTAAGTCAGACGAGTCATACTTAATTCTGGTGATTGAGGTTTTCTTCTGTCACTCTTTTCATATGATGGAAGCTTCCTTCTCAACAATTCCGAGACGCATCATTTGTGGGTCATCCACGTTTTCCATCGGTTCGTTCTCGCACTTTCGCAGCGATACGAGAAATATTTACTGCTGCGCCACATTTCTTTTCGGCCAGGTTGCTTTCCCTGCATGGAACGCGCAAATCGCCACCGAATGGCAATCCCTACATGATACTGACGCAATGCAGCTTTCGATGTTTTTTTGAAACCTTGGATCATCACACACCGCTCTTTGTGGTTTTTTCGCCATTTGATGATGTTACTCTCAACGCACAATTCAACTACACACCTGCGGGACCGGTAAGAGCTTGCACGACGAATAAAGACCATTTTTGATGTAGTAGGTCACCATTAGCTGAGCTGAGGGTAGAGCCAACTTCTGGAATTCCAATTCACACGCCCCTCCCTCCATGATCAACACGTCACGCCCTTGCCGAGAAGCTCTTGCTGCGGCGCAACAAGACCAGAGTCAGCGTTTGTTCACTGGAATTTCATCTCAATCCTGTCCCCGTATTGCGGATGTTTCCCCAGGGCCATGCATGGACTCGAGATTGAGGTTGTCCGGTTTCTTGTCACCAGACGTAAAAGCTCATATCGTTGCACGGACTTAAGAGTGAGGCTCGCATGGCTAACCAAATTAGTGAGAGCTTCGCAGGCTGGTGGTCTACTGTTGTGAACCTGATCTCTTGCCCCCCACGTGGAGTTCCTGCACAAAAGATCTTGCATGTTTATCGATCAGTACAGATCCGCGACTTTGCGGCCGGAAAAGCTTTTTCCCCACTCGCAGCTATAAGAAGATGCCTGAAATTTCATTCACGCGTCAGGCACAATCGCGAGGGTCTGAGGCTTCCTACTATGGAGAGAACATATCGAGTGGATGTTATGTAACCTGAAAAAGTTATCCGGAGAAGGGAAATCCTCCTCGCGACTCATTCTACCCCTCTAGCTGAATCATCAGCACGCCTCGCACGAATATCACTTCTCATAATGAGGAGCCGAAGGCTGAGTGGATAGCCACTTGGCTTACTCTATGAGCAGCAACAAAAGGAAACCGAAGGTCAGGTTCATGAGTCTGGCATAGTTGCAAGATGACACTGCTCCACACACACCCTAATGAAACAAATTAGCTGAATCCTAGACTGCTTTCGGATGGGGTTGTAAGCATGTGTGCCTTCACCGAATCCTCATCAAACCCTTGAGACCATCTCAACCCGTATAGCGCATTAATATCCCTCGCTCGTACCATGATCCCCTTTGGGGAGGAGACCGACATGTCATTTGGATGGAGACCCACTTCACCCCGGCGCAAGACAGGGGATAAAATGGGACAGGATATTAGCTTCTCGTGTGTGCGATCGAAAAGGGATTTGCGGACACCCTCTTCATCCGTGCTTGCCTGGGCTGAAAGTTCGAAGCTGAATGTATGAAATCTGTTGGATGGGCTCTTTGGTTGGTCATGGTAGCTGAACGACGAACACGAAATGCATACGGCGTCGAATCGTACACACCACTGGAAGACAGAGCGACACGTAAGACCCACACACATTGACGCAAGGGCTGGAGTGCTGGAAATCTCTATATAAGGAGGGTGTATTCCCTCCACCTTCCATCTCCATCGTTCAAACACTCCATACATCCTCAAAACAACTATTTTCACCAAGCTCAGACCCCGTCAATTCCTCGACCTTCTCCGATCAAATTTCCCCTCCAACACTACCGCAAACTCACCAACCATGCATTTCACCACCACCATCACCGCCCTCGGCTTCGTGCTCTCAGCCGCCGCCGTCCCAGCCAGCCAGTCCTGGATTGTGGACCCCGCCGCCGCCACTGACGCCCCTGCCGTACCAGACAGCGGCAATCCTGTCGCCGCAGACGCCAACGTAGCAGCCGGTACGACTGGTGACGCCAACGTTCGCAACTACTGCGATTTTCCCGTGTATCTCTACGTGTGTGGGCAAGACCCGGCCTCCTGCACCCCAGAGTACACCCTTGCCGCCAAGACGGGCACGTATTCCGAGGTCTTCTCCACGCCCAATAACGGCCGCTCCATCAAGATGGGCACAACCTCCGGCGAAGTGGCCAAGCCCATCTTGCAGTTTGAGTACACCAACACTGGCTCCGGTCAGGTCGCTTACGATCTCAGTGAGGTCAATGGCAACCCCTTCGGCCCGTATGGGTTCTTCCTCACGTCCAACAACAACGCCTGCTTCCATGAGGAGTGCCCGGCTCCGGGCACCCATGATGTTTGTCCCTGGGTGTTCACTACCCCGACTAACGGGCAGGTGTCGGATTGCCCGATTGCTAGCTCCATTGGCGTTACTCTCTGCGGTTGAGTGCGGAAGAGGAGTTGTATCCAGAGCTAAGCCCCAGGCTGAAAAGATGGGTTTGGCTGCTGGAAAACCAAAAGTGTCACCCGCTGGTTGACGGTGACGACTTCCTTTTCTGCCTGGAAAAAGATGGCGAGATTTATGAACAGAATGCTTCTATATTTCCTTATCATCATTGTTTTCACAGTCGCTACCAATGTCCGTGCTTTTATATCGCTTATTATCATTCTTTACACAGTCGCTACCGATGCACTAGTATTTCATTTTTATAGATAGACTAGATCAGTACCCAAGTCAGGCAAGACAAGGTGTGCACATAGCCTGAATGCAATACCCACAAAACACAGAAAGTTACGTGCATTCAATAAACGTTGAAAAGTACAAGTTCTCGCACATCCGATCATACGAAAACTGTAACTAAATTGGATCTTTAAAGCCAATTCATCTAGATTCGCAAAATGAATCCCTAGGCAGATTTGAAAAGGATTTCGGGTATTACAAGTGAAAAAACGTAGACGTAAACGTCATACACGGAAAAAGGAGAAGGGGCGGGGAATGGGGGAAACGCAGATACCAGTGCGAGAATCGCAAACGAAGCCCTACATACACTCCAAGCGCGTCTCCAGAAAAGAGGTAACAACGACACCCCCCCTTTCCGAAGTACCCGCCGTCAAACGTGAGCGGAATCCACACCTCATACGCCCAGCCCATCCCAAACATACGATCCGAAACCTCCGCTTCCTGCATCACTTTTCCCACACTCCTCACCCCCCCCCCCCAATCCCCCTCCCTCCAGCAACCCCCCTCTCCCTCAAACACCCGAACTTGAAAAAGTCATAGACGAAGGATGCAAACCGGGTGCACTCCTACGGATCGCCAGGGTTTTGGCGATTCGAATCGGCACCCTCTCGTTTCATTTCATTTCTTACGCAGGTCTCACGGAATCCATACCGTAGAAGCAAGCAGGATGGTTGGGATTTCTCGAGGTGGGTGAAGAGATCTTTCTTGTTATGGGTTTGGGCGAGGGAGGTGCGCAGATGGGGTTTGAGTTGATTGTATTCGACTGGATTTGAGGTTTGTGAGGGGATCGGAGTTGGGATGGTGTTGGGAGTTCGGGTATGAGATGGTAGAATGCACAGTTAGATATTGGATGTCGGGATTGGCGATCTATGACAGAAATGGGGGTTTCTTATGTTTCAGATCTTTCAGTGGGGGAGAGATGCGAGTGGGGATTTGTTCTGGTTTCTCGATTTGATTGATTTGCTCTGCTATTTAGCAGAAAGACGCGCCCACACATTCAATCTAGAGTCTATGAGAAAACCTCGACGGCATGCATGCAGAAACTCAATAAGACCACTTGCCGCACGTCCTTTGTGCCGATACACGGCACCTACACCCATCTTCCAGTCAAACCACTACCTCGTCCGGAAGAACTCCCCTATCGTCTTCTCTGTCTTCTCGGTCTTCTCATCTGCGCCAGTAAACCTTGCCCGTACTGGCCGTAGATCTGACTCTTCAGACTAGGCAAGTCCGGTGTTTGACCATGGGCAAGGTTGGGTATATATGTAGCCGGATGTGGCGGCTGGATCATTGGAGTGACTGAGGGAGCATTGGTGGAGGCTTGCGGACCACCGACTGTGCCTTGGCCAGGGTTCAAGGTCTGTGCTCCTGAAGGCCCGGCCTCCGCTTCAGATTCGTTTTCTTCCTCGTCGGATTCAGTCTCTTCCTCGTCAGATTCAGTCTCTTCCTCGGATCCAATCTCTCCTCGATCCATTTCCTTCCTCCAAAGCCCCATTCTCTTCGGAAGCTCCACGGTTCTCCGTAAGTCTACCACCATTTGGAAGCCCCATCGGGTGGGTGGTGCGTGGTGTGTTAGAGAAAGACCCGGTCGGATCTTGGTGTATGGACGTATTGGCAGCATTTTCGCTGTCTTGATCTAACAGCGACCACAAGTAATCCCCTCGATCAAGACATTCGAGCGCAGATTTTCTATCTCCTGGCATTAGCCTCAACATATGTTGTCCCACAAGGTAGTTGAGGTTGTTCTGCTTGAGGCCGTCGGATCCTATGGCTTGGAAATTGTGTTTGTAGTTCTCAAAGTAGGCAATAACAGCTTCACACCATTCAAGACCTGCATTGTCTTCGTAGCCCGGAGGCCTGCTGGCTGTTGAAAGTAGGACAACGATCACTCCGAGCGCCCATATATCTACTGCAGCGGTAAGTGGTTCGTTTGCGGACATCTCCGGGGCCATGTAGATCTGCGTTCCTGTGCAAATCTTGAGAACGTCCACATCATGAGTCAAACCAAAGTCCGCGAGTCTGAAATGAGTTCGAGAGTCGCACAGGATGTTTGTGGGCTTAATATCCCGGTGTATCATTTTCAAACTGTCGTGAAGATAGACGAGTGCGTTCAACATCTGACGAACCATGAGCCCGGTTTCCTGGATGGTGAATGGCATAGTTTTGTATTGTTCTTCCAAGTTTCCTCCGGGAGCGAGCCCCATGACTAGATACGGCCTGTCTCCTAGCCTGCAATCGATGAATTTGACGATGTTCTCCTGTTTGATGAGTTAATTAATTCCTGACAAGAAGAGGCGCTGTACTTACGTGAGGAGTGTTGATGAGTTTTCGAAGTACGCCAGCCTCCAAGGTCCAGGCGCTTTTGGTTTTGAATTCTTTCATTGCCGCTGTTCCCCCATCAGGCATTGAACGTACTTTATGTACCACGCCGAAACCACCGTTGCCCAATTTCTTGGTCCGAAGGTAGAATGGCGGCTCCACCGCTGTGTGAGCAGTCGCTGCTCCGCTCGCTAGTCTGGTATCTGGCCGGCTCGTGAAATTTAGCAGGCTCATTGTGTGACTGGCGCTTTTAGCAAACTTCATGAAATTTCGGCAATTAGCTTCATAAGCGGCCTTGCCCGTTCCATGGGTAGGTACGATAACTCTGAAGGGTATCATTTTGGAAGCCTTGACATAGATGTTTTTCTGGTCAGGCGGAAAGGTCCAGATGAAGTTCCTACGCGTCCCGGTCTGTCCGCCGTAGGTGACTACCGTTTGATTCCTTGATGTGGATTCCATGATAACCTCATTGTATTGGTTGAAAGAAATCACGAACATCCGGTGGCTGATGTAGTCATCTTGAGAACCTAAGTACACGTCGCATACCTCACGGTCGCTGCCGAGAAGATACCCCAATTCAGGGTTCTTTGGCTTTTTGGTGAAGGTAATCTGCAGTGCTGGCTCGGAAAGCTTGATTTGACCAGGTTCATCCGAATCCGGGGTAAGCGCCCGAAACAAATCATTTGGGTCCACAACCTCCTCTCGAAAGCCTCCATTCGTGGCTCGGGACACAGGAGGGAGATAGAATGCTTCATTCTGTGGATCTGCCCATATCTCATGTGCTCTATGGCCGTAAGCCTCCAGTTTGAGTATGATGTTTGGGTCGTTATCGAATTCCATGTTTATTGACTTGCTGATGTATGGCTGTCGCTGGTAAGGTTGAACAAGCCGACAGCAGCAGGCTTAGGGTCTGAGGTCAAGCAACAAGTCGTAAAAGGTGTTGAGGCCCGTGTGCAGAGCAAATCTCGTCAGAGACTGTAGTAACACAGAACTTGCCACCGTGATAAGAGATAAGGGGTACTGCGTGGAGCTGGAAATGACCCCAGTCGAGTGAGACGAGAAGGCTGGTGTGCTAGAAGTGAAAAGCGCCTGCTGTAAAAATTTTTAATGATTGAGGGATACTCCAACGGGTGTGGACTTTGAGGAGGTTGTGTAGGAGAAATGCCAAATGGAGCTCAGCAGCCGGGGTGAACTACCCGCGCTAAGATGTCTGGAGACGAGGAGTCCCCTGTGTATGAGCGAGTTAATTTTGTGGTTGACAAGTCATGCAAGGTTGAAGGTTGAGTTTGGAGTAAAAGTTGGAGAGAGGAATGACTTCTTAAATAGACAAATCTCTCAACACTCAATACGTTCTCAACAACCTACATTATCTATATATGAAAACTCAAATCATTGACACATAGAAAGAGGTTGAACACTAAGCCAAACTAGACCATAAAAAACGGTAAAGAATACCGTTCCGATCAAATCTGATCCAATAAGGTATCCTGCTTTAGAAACTGTCACAGGATGGACTGAGATTCACAACACAGAGCCACTAGTCCTGGTTCGGCCTTAGCGCGCCTTGGCACACTGGTTTCACATCACCTAAGGTCGACATGGACCATCAATCATACACACCACAACCATATTGCATACTTACCGTGGCAGAAAGGCTACTACCTATTGTCGGACTATCAGGACAGCTGGACTCTTTCTTCCAGTGCGCTAACAATCGCACGTCTTCTTTGTCAGCCACCTGAAGTAGTACAATAGCAGCTTGTGGTGTGGTGAAGCTTCAACATTCCATGGTGACCCTTGAATACTCAGGCCCTTATCAATTCACAATCTTCGAGCCAAAATGTCTATAGCGTCACTGTCTCCTCAGCCAGCAGGCTCTGCGCACTCTTCTAGAGCCGGCTCGCCTATCTACATTGGTCGCACACCTTCAAAGAACGCGATTGACCCCGAAGCGCTCGAACGAAGGCTAAGGCAAGATCTCTTAAAGAGCCTTGCTTGTGATGATAGCTGACGGTTACTTATAGGAACATCACTCCCCATCCAGATGAGTGTGTTGAGAGATGGAAAGTAGAAGTCCAGCGCGATTATGACCAACTAATCGCATTGGGTGGACGGCCTACTCGTTCTATAAGACCACAATTCATCTGGAAAGTCACTATCGTGGATGGCATGTTTAGTTACAGAGACGAAGATAATAAAACTGATGTGACTCAGGAGGTGGATGTGACCTTGGATGAAGAGGGTCTTGCACATACCCACTGGAGTGAGGAATGGGCTAAATGGGCGGAAGAATTGAGGCGGTGGCAGAAGTTCAAGGAAGACCAGCAGAGGCACAATCAACTTGGTCGATCGGAGACGGATTTGGAGCTCGAGAATACGGACGTGGATTTGGTTGAGGTATTGTCAAAGTTAGACGACTGGCAGTTATTTGAATTCGTCCAACAGAAAAAGGTTCATGATGCGGAGAGGTTTCATGAACAATGTCAACAAGAAGTTGCGAGACTTGAGGATGCAATGGTCACTGCTAGGGCTGCAAAACCAATGCGAGCAGTCGAAGAACCGCATGGGGGGTGGATGTGGCAAATGGAGACACTGCAAAAAGAATTAGAGGCTTCCCAAGAAGAACTGATGTGGGTTAAAAGTCAGTGGACGGAGGTGCTAGCAGAAGCTAGTCATTCGATTGCCGCATCGCCGAAGCTTCAAAAACAGTTAGAAGAGAAGCTTGAGAAGCAGACCAACGAGATATACCGCCACTTACAGCAAAGGGGAGCCAGACCGAGCAATGCGGTTCATCGTCCCGATACCACGGCTGACTTCCCTCAGAGACTTCAACATTGGATCTCCGAAAGCTCCGCCTTTACCGCCGAACTGTGGGATTGGAGGATCTTCATGGCTTGGCGACGAAATGTAAATGGCGCTGACACTACAAAACAGGAGGAGCAGAAGCAACCTTTTCAAGTTGACGCAGATGCAAAGCTCTTTGAGGACCTTGTGAAATATTGCCAGTACGAACTTGATAAAGCAAGCAGCTGGGTCTACTCTTGGCGCTGTCGAGCGAGACACTACGCGGGAGCGAAGAAGAGCACTGCGCTACAAGAGAGAATAGAATCTCTGCTTGCAGATGACGAAGACGACGATTATCAAGAAGCACGAGCATATGCCTATGCGCAACCTCAAGTCACAGAATCTGACCAGGCAGAAATCTATGCGAAGCAGGCGGAACAGAAGGTTTCGGACGCTGCGAAGCGACTCGAGCGAGCTCAACAACAATTGCAAAATATTCTTGCACGTCGTGACCGACCCTCCACGGGTGAAATCCCAGCGGAAGACTCGGAAGCCCAACTACCACCTACACCGGCACAATCACAGTCTTCTAAGGGGAGTCTTCCCAAGAATCAGAAACCTTCGAATAAGAGTAGCACCGCTGGAAAAGATCATCGGCGATCGAAGAAGAAGGAAGCAAGGAAAAGGGGAGCCAACTTAAGCAACACCAACACACAACAGCAGACCCTTCCAGACTTTTCTTCCGGTTCAGATCAATTCAAAATAGACGATGATATCGAGATGTCAGACGTCCTGGAGGATACAATCATGTCAGATAGCAAAGATCCTCCCAATCACATCCCACCATCTTCATCGAAACTTATCACACCGCCCTCGTCCAGCCCCCATGCTTCGATATCGAGGAAGACTCGCTCTTCTACAAAACTTAATCAGCCTCTCTCTGATAAGGTCTCCAAGAAGATGAACACAAACAAAAAGCCGACCAAAAAGTTCAAGGGCTTTACAGAACTACAAGTCACGACATTGCTGAACGCTGCATCGACCAGCCGTCCTTGCACCAATTCTATTGCACCAAGGAGAAGTGAACGGCTCAAAGAGAAAGCTGCAATCTTAAAGAGGAGGGCGTGCACATAATCTGAAATGGATGAAAATTGGCAATCTCAGAAAGGAGGGTGTGCATATATTCTGCAATAATACACTCTAGTTCGATAGTTGAAAAAGATCATTTAGTTAGGTTGAATCGATACACATCCAACGTTTGAATCCTGAGACAGCTATCGAATACCTAGTGGAACAACTTCCAAGAACGCTACCGTGAAACCTTCACGAATGTTTGGCCCGAGACTATCACATATCATTCCAAGTCGATCCAACTCGGAACCCAGTAGTATTCCTCCTGCCACACTGTAAAAAACGCAAGATACCCGCAAAACTCGACAAATCTCCCAACACGTTGACTACGCGAGTTCCCTTGCTCATCTTCAACTGCCGTAGTTCCTTTGCTTTCCATCCTAAACCCGACTTCGCTCCCAAGGACAAGGAAAAAACCCAGTCCGAGGCCGCAACACCGCCAGATCTCGCTGCAGGGTGGAATTGAAAAATTTAAAAGCCCACCAGCCTATTTGACCGCACGACAGCCGAAGGAAGAGGTTGCTATTGGTGGCGAAGTATCTTGACTTGTGGGATATGCACTCAGGTAGATCTCTACTTACAGCCAGATTGCTAGGTCGAACGCGCTCTCATTTTTCTCCTGAACAAAAAGCCCCAGAAACCAAACAAAAGTACCAAAAATTGGACCGCCCTCTGACCCAACAATCAGGAATCCAAAACAGCAAAAGGATTCACATCGCAGCCTCTCCGTAGAGGGGGTGCGACGCTGCAGGAAATTTTTTCAGGCTCGTGGAGAAATTGTCAGTCATTGCCATCTTTTCGCTTTCGGAAAGGCAGATGTAGAGAAAGGGCTCGCTTGACCTTTGGACATGTGGCCAGTGTGTGGGGTCTCTGGGTGGCTACTCCTCTGCTAGCCATACGATCTGGACTAAGGTATTGGGGGACACGGCGCCATTTCGAGTTGTAAACTTGATTATTAGGTAGGAGTTTAGTTTTAACTACCTTCTTCAATGTTTCTAAAGTTTTACCATTATTTGTAATTCTTTCGAATGCATACTTACGTGGGTTTCACGGTTCGAATGTCCTTGGAAGGTGTGGACTATGCTAGGAAGGCTTTTCATGGAGCCGCACTTTCATGGTTGGGGATAGACATACGCTTGTAGGCACGGTTGGTTTTCATGAATTTCTTTGTTCAAGTACTACTCCAGTTCTCTAAGCAACATCGCATGCCTTGCTAAAAAAGAACCCGCAGTTGCCGCTTTGTCCATCAAATCATTCTGAGCCTGGAAAGGATGCCTTTACTGTGAATTGCACGGGCTCTGAGTCCTTAGACTTATCTCAGCGCAGGATACTCAATAGCCTTTCCTTACTGTTTTCCGGAGATTATCGTGCTTGTCTCCCAGTGCCAGTCCATAGCTAAGCGGCTGTGGATCGTCTGGCCTCAATGTGTGTGGTGGCACTGCAGTCTTAGATCCATTGGACCCTTGCCCTTTCAAGGCCACGGTCTCCTCCACACCCGGGTCGTAGGTTGCCGGTGACGTGTTGTTGCAGTACATCGGGGCTCTTGCATGTGATGATTTAAGGACCGGATTGGCGCGAAGCTCTGGCTCAGTCTGAGCCTCACCACCAGAGTACAAGGAGGACCATTCATTCTCTGACTCGGACGCCTTTCCAATGTCCGAATGTGTAGGGATGCGTTTTGCCTCTTCGTTGACCTTAAGGTCGACCGAAACCCCACTACATTGCTGACCTACATCTTTTCGTTGCCTTTCCAACGCTAATCCCAAGCCGGACTGTATCTGTGAAAAAACGGGAGCATTGAGACACTCCTGCGCTGACAGTCTCTTTTTCGGATCATACTTGAGCATGAAGTTCGTGATGAATCCCCACAGCATGGTCTCCAACGTATTTTTGTTCCTCTCGCAGCGTTTTCCATCTGCGAAAAAAGAAAAAGAAAAATTCTGCCTCGTTGTAAGGATAACGTCCTCGCACCACTGTGGCCCTTGCAAGTAACCTCGGCTGGGCTTGGGTATGCGTCCTCCCAGAAGCAGTTGCAAGATGACGACGCCCAAAGACCATATGTCAACTTTTGAGTCGTATTCTTGACCGAATACCTCAGGGGCCTGGTAAAGCCAAGTACCGGCTGAGCCTTCACACTTAGTGCCTTCTGTTGCCAGGCCAAAGTCCGCAATCTTGATCCAGGGCCCGGGCTCTCCAGGGTTTGTCGTGCGTTCACGATCTGCCACTAAGATGTTTTCGGGTTTGATGTCCCGATGGGTTACGCAATTCGGGCTAGCATGTAAGCTTGCGAGCGCACGAAGAGACTGTGCCAGGATGCTAAAAACCTGGATCGGCTGCCACGGAGATCGATCATTCAGCCGCCATGGGCGACTCAAATTCCCCCTGGTTGTGGTTTAAAAGTCAGCATATCCTTCTCGTAATCCGGTCTCAATTCGTATGAGAAGTCTTGGGAGTAGACAAAGGGAAAGATTTCTTTGCCCCTTAGAACAGATATTTCACGGCTCAGATTGCGATATTGAACAGGAACAGATTGAACCGCAAGGTACACGTACTCTTTGAGATACTCCGTGACCAGAAGAGGGCCGTCATCATTGGACAAGGCCACGTATCCGAGGATGTTCTCCTGTCGAGATCGTTAACTGCTTTCCAAAGGTTCTCCATATAGCCCGTCCCTTATTATCTCTCGTTTGGCTGGTAGCCAGTACAAAACTCCAGCAGGGTAATGGGAAAGACGATGTGACTTACGTGGTTCTGCTTGGCCAGGATATCTGGCTCGCTTCGCTCGAAGTCCCCAAAGAACGACTTGCCTGCGTACTCGAATCCGGTGCTCACGTCCACGACAACATCAACTTTTCCAAAGGATCCACGTCCAAGCTCTCCCGCTTCACGCCGGTAGTAGAAAGGCTGCGTCTTTGGTGTAGACACTAGGCTAGTGTCTGCAGTCGTTGCCTCACTGTCCACCAAAAGAAGCGGTAGCGATGGCATTGAGTCCTCGACGTCCTTGAGAAAATGGGCAAATAGCCCTCGCGACAACTCTGTCTTGGCGCCGTGCTTCGCCACTATGACCCGAAACTTGAGCTGGTTGGCCGAAGTAACAACAATGCTCCGGCATTCTGGTAACATGATCCAGATAAACTCCCGTCGGTCCCCAACCTTTTGAGAGTTGTACTGGACCTTCGTCCGGTTTGTGTTCTTGATATGCTTCAAGATCACGTCGCCTCGCTTGCTTATCGTAATCAAAAACGTCTGCCTGCCGATGTAGTAGTCGTTTTTTCTGTCGTGTTCACCACAATACACATCGCACAAGTTTTGATCGCTGCCAAAGGTCCAACCTTTGCTGACATTCTTTGGGCGACTGTCAAAGGTTATCCTAAGTTCAGGCTCGCTTTCTTTGACATGACTGTCGCTGTCACTGTCCTCCTCGACTGGTGTGGACTCGCGGCTTATTTCTCCATGTACTGGGAAGCCTCGAAATGAAGCCGGCACATAGAAGTGTTTGTTGTGTGGGTGGGCCCAGGCTTTCCGTGTCCTCTCATTCAGTGCCACCAGTCTGGCTACAATGTTGGGGTCGTATTCATCCATCACAACTTATAGTCCCTAGTCAAGTACGGATATACGTAACGCAGACCCGAGTATGGTTGATGTTGGCAGTTGCTGGCGGTGGTTGATGTTGCTTTGTCAAGATGGCAGATGTGTGGAGCCTATGTGCAAACTGGCACAACCTGAACTAGGCGGCAGCGGAATGTGTATGGAGGGTATTGTACCAACGAGAAGTTCATTGAATCGCGGGCGTGATAGCGAAGTGGTTTCCAGTGCTGCAGACTTTGACTGCTTGATGTTTGCGTGCCGAGATTGCACTTGGAAAGGGAGACATCTTGGTTTGGGGGCTGAGGGGTGAGAACAGGAGATCAGCAATAGAAGGGTCATGGGGTTCCACAAATTGGGGGATGCACGAGGATAACACAAGCGGCATTCCTTCGTATGCAGCTTCGGCTGCTAATGCTCTCATGCACGATGTCGGATGGTGTGGGAGTGCGGACGTTAATTATGGCACATGATAGACAGCCTTGAAGCTTGAAGAGCGTTTTCAAAAATCCAAAGCAGAAGATTTTCAAAGGCGGAGGGTTTTTGTATATATATTTTGAGACAAAAGGAGCTGTTGGTACTCAGAACATGACGTTGAGGAAAACGCACTCTCGTCAATCCGCCAAAAATACATTGCTGAGCAACGTCAAACCTTATTCGATGCCTGTACATTTTTAGGACCTGTGTTCAAACACAAATCTCTTCTCGTACTTACCAAGCCGACTAATCGGAAGTAAATCTTTGTAACTTCAATTGATTCTTGTATCAAATCCCAGCTGGCTGTTCCGGGCTTAGTCAGCCTTCCTCACCCCTCTATCTTGTCCAACCCTTCTTCTTCTTCTTCTTCTTCTTTCTTCAGCAACGACGCGGGAGCAGCAGCTCAACGTACGGCGTCATGGCTTACATTCCGATTGCTAATGACTCCAAAGGCCCTCAGACCATAATAGATCCAGACGCGCTAGAGATGAAGTTGACGTGAGCTTTCTGTTCCGTGTCATCGAAGCGCTGCTTCTTTTCCCTAACGCATATTGATCTACAGGCATGCCGCTCCATACAGAGAAGTCTCTCCATTTGACGAAGAATTTACCGAAGACTACAAACGCCATGCCTACAATTATCATGACACACTGATCGAAATGGGGGGAAGACCGACTCGGCCAGTGCTAGAGAAGCCAGCTGGGAATGCAGTATACGAGAAAGACGAGATTCGCATCATGGATAATCATGGAGGATTTCAAGGTACCATCGCGATTGACGAAAACCTTACACATCACCACTGGACTGAGGAATGCGATCGTTTCTACGAGGAGTTGGAACGATGGAAGGAGTTCCGGGATCATCAGCGAGATACAGAAGATCAACCTTTGTTGAAGACCGCCATCGACCCAGAGAATACGGACCAGCGATTAGTGAAGGTATTGGTCCGATTGAATGACTGGCGGGAATTTCAACATTACCAGCAAGTGAAGGTTGGCCGTGCGGCTATGTTGACGTGGAAAGTCACGCGAGTTCTAGAGAAGATCGTGCGTAAAGAGGCTGTATCTGACGAAGCTACTTCAAGCCCGAAAACCCAATATACAATTGACACCTGCCTTGATCAGCTCTTTATACGACAACAGGGTTTAGAGACCTCGGAAATGCAGCTCACATGGATCGAGAGCCAAATTCCTGAGATACTCTCAGAAGCTTGTGCCTCACTACAGGCTACTCTTCCTCTTCAACGACAACTTGAAATGAATTTAGAACAACAGGCCAATGCTTACCACCAGGAATTGGAGGCTTTGGAAGCCAGACCGGATGCTTCAGTGCGGTCCCCTCACCAATCTGCAGGCTTTGCCCAGAGGCTCTGCCATTGGGGCTCCGAGATTTGTCGGCTTATGAAGGAATTATGGGAATGGAAGATCTTCTTGAGATGGCGAAAAACCAAGCCGTATACATCTCAAACAGGGACCCTCGAAGAACAGGAATCAAGTGGACGCTCATCAGATTTACAGATCTGGGTAGACTACGTTGCTTATCGACGATACCAGCTTGACAGGACCCAAAGTTGGGTCGCAAGCTGGCAACGCCTACTGAAGTCAAACGAGGACGACATGGAGACTGCTCCGAAAGGTGGCCTGGGGTTACTCGTCCTTCAAGATTGCACCGCAACGGTACGAGCAAATGTAAAGAAGTTTCAACAAGACATTCACACCGCCGAATTTCGACTTCGATTGGCAGAGCAACAGTTAGCCGAGTTTTCCTCGCACGAAAGCTCTTCGGCTACAGCCCAGGTCAGGCAACAAAGCACCGGGCATCCGCGATTGCCGCCAAGTTCGCTAGAATCAAAATCACCTGAGAGTATCCCTGGGGATCTCAAACTCACAGACTTGGGCAGCTCCCCTACAAAAGTCCATCGATTGAGTGGGTCGACCAATTCACCCATCAGTGGGATCCCAGGTTTGGTTCAGCCGTCGAAGGGCAAAATCAACGAGAAACAGCCGGTCACTGTGGCCGATGTTCTTGTTCCAGATCAAGTCATCCTTGATGATGCCATTCAAATTACAGATACCGCTGAAAACTCGTATCCACACGACGGCGTTCGGAGAACGCGAAGGAGCAAGATCCGTAGACATTTGGAGGAGTAGTGTCGAAGGCACTCTCATGAGTGATATCGAAGACCCGGTCACTACTAGCCCGCCTCCTGCATATAACATGAGCATCAAGGGTCACGGTTCTAGGGCAAAAAGGAAATCGCGCTTGCCTGTTGATCAAGTGCCAACATCAAGAAAAACTCGATCTGCTACAAAGCTCGATCAAGATACCTCTGACAGGGTTCTGAAGGATACGGACAAGAAGTCGGTCAGAAAGGAAAAGGGGTTTTCAGAACGGCAAACCATGGCGTTACTGAATACTGCATCAACCAACGGCTCTTCTACCGGTTCCTCGCCATCGCCCAGAAGAAGCCAACGGCTCAAGGAGAAAGCTGCGGCCTCGAAAAGGAAGGTGTGTATATAGTTCCAATGCAATATCTTCAAGACTTAGAAGATCACTTTCACTCAATAAACGATTCAACGTAAGATCTTGCAGTTGTGAGAAGATTTACAGGAGAAGATTGAATTGGATTTGTAAAACCTTTCCCTTTGTTCACGACTTTTGATTCATTCTCTTAGTCTCAAACATAACTGTATCTGACATGGGTCGAATGGTACAATTGATCCTCACAGATATGCTCTATCAAATATCCTTCGCTAACATACAAAGGCTCTCTATGCAACAGCGCTCGCTTCGCTAACAACCAGTTTTGCAATTCCACCTCAATCCATAAAATCTTTGTAGATGCCGAAGAAAGCTCGCTAATGCACAAGCGCTCTCTATGCAACATCGCTCGCTTCGCTAACAATTCAAGTTTCGCAGTTATAAACAATGCTCTCAAAGCCTTCCAAATGCGGAAGAATGCTCTCGCGGAAAAAAAAGTGGGGTATCATGAACAAAGCCGTGTCATCTGCGCCATGCTTTCCGAAATTCCCACACATCCAATGGTATAAACACCAGACCCAAACACCGTGCGAACCCAAGATGGTCCATCTCGAAAACTGAAATACTGACTGACTAAGCATACACTTGCTAGATTCATGGCTCTCTCGCAGGGTGTCCATCCAGACTGCTGTTCCGGCTCCGTGGCATCGGCCGCCCTCATGGAGTCCGATGCGCAGGTATCGACGCAGACGATTTGCTCCGCTTGTGGTTCTTCGCAGAGGGGATCCCGTCGAGGCCAGCAGCCGCATCTTCGCTACCTGAACGGTCCGGCGCCAGTGGACCCGGTGTCACCGATCCATCGTTCTCACCGCCTTCTGCCGAAGTCTGGCTGTCACGGCGACGCTTGATGCCTCCATCGGAGATGGAGCGTGTATGGTTCCCTGGTTTGGACAGGGATGGGAGGCTGGGAAAGACGTCGGGCCGGGTCATTGAGCATCCCTCTGCTGATGGAGGAGGGACTGGTGGCGGCCTGGTCGTTGATCGTCTCTTCGACCAGATGGAGGGTGGGGAGGAGCGCTGGCCGGGTTGTAGACACTGTCTCCGCGAATGGCTGTTTTGGCCTCGTTGCGGAAATCCTGAGGTTGCCTTCCCCACTCGGGCGTTCCTTCGCCATCCCTATGGACATTCCTCGATGTCTCTTCCTCTGCCTCATCACCTTCTGGACTGCCCGGTGATTTGGGCGAGAAAGAGCCGTTTGGATGTGCGTTTGTTGGAGTGTTGGCTCCACTCCCGGCGTCCGAATCTTCGCTGCCACCTTGGTCTTCCCACAGATACGAGTAGTGCCTCAACGCATCTTCGCGCTGATAGTCGTTCGTCTGCATCCAGACGCAGCATGGCATCTTTCACCAGACGTATGAGTTCGAAGGCGTCACTTCCGCTCATATCTGGTGATTGCTCGCACTGGTCGTGGTATCGCGTGAACTTGTGGAGTACGCCTTTGCACCACCTTCGCCCATGCGTGCGTGGATTTCCATGGGGAAGCTCATCCATACACTCAAACAGAACGACTCCCACTGACCAAATGTCCGCTTCGTAGCTATAAGGTGCGGAAGCGTGGACCTCCGGAGCCATATACTCTGCGGTTCCTTGCTTGCTTGGCAAGGAAGTGATATCTCTCGAGACCCCAAAATCCGCTAGCTTGTAGTGATTTGGAGTCACGCAAAGGATGTTCGCGGGCTTAATATCCCGATGCATCACGCCCTGGTCATGGAGGAATGCCAGGGCAGAGAGGGCCTGGCCGGCAAGGCTCGCAATCTCCTCAAACTCCATGCGTACCTTCATTCGTTGTTGAAGGTTTCCTCCAGCCACGTACTCCATAACCAGCAGTGGCTTATAATCTTCGTGCCATTCCTCAACAAATTGTACTATATTTTTCTAATCTCTCAATCAGCGATTGCGCACTCAGCAAGGAATCGAATTCAAACTTACATGAAATGTCTGGCAGACTTTTTTAAGCATGTCGACTTCTTGCCTCATCGAGCCCGCGTTCTTGAACTCCTTTGCAGCGCAGTTTTTCCTGTCGGGCATCTGAAGGACTTTAAAAACATCGCCATACGAGCCACTGCCGAGTCTCTTCCCCCGGAGATAGAACGGAAGTCAGGAGGACTTGATGTGCCACTTGCCTGTCCAGTAGGCGCTATACTGTTGATGTCGAGGTCGTCCGTTAGCGGGTCTGCATCCCAGGCAGCCGCGCTAAGAAACGATTCACAGTTCCGGTGGAATTCATCTTTGTTGATTCCGTACTTGGGCAAGAACAACATCAAACTCAAGTACATCCGCCACCGTGACGCGGATCAGTTTCCTGACCGCGAGGGAAAATCCAGGAAAAACTGCGTCCGCTTGCCTTCTTTCTGATTATTGTATTTGACTGATGTTGGGTTGTCCAACGTGTTGGTTGTCCGATGTAACATTCATGATGAGTTCATGGTGTTTGTTGAAGGTGAAAGCGAGCATTTGTTGGCTGATGCAATCGCCGGGGTCACCTAACAGAGCGTCACATGACTTGTCATAGCTTCCCAATACGAATCCTTTCGCAGAATTCTTTGGGCCAGTTGTTGAACAGGAACTGAAGCGTTGGCTCTGTGTCTTTCTTTGTTCTCGAGTCTTGGCTGGTCGTCGTTCGTTCACAGAAGCTGAAAGGCGAGGAGTAGATGCCCTAAGAGGCCGGTCTTCAGGTGCTTTCCCTTGTGAACGAGGCAGGGACATATCTCGAACTATTGTGGGGGTCGGCCCACATCTGCTTAGCTCTTTCATTCCGCGCCACCAAGGTAAATGCGAGGTTAGGGTCCTGATTTTTTTCTTCCCAGTCCGCTAGCGGGCTCTTCCACTTCTTCTCAGGCATCTTGAACTGTAATAGCCAGGACGTGGCTACTGAGTAGTGTCACAAATCAGTACGAAGACATGGTAAGAGTCTACTATCAAGCGTCCTTACTCTTGAGTATCTGAAAGAAGACGTTCTTAGAGCCTTTCTTGACAGGAGGTCGAGAATTGTTTCTGCTGTGTTGAGTGGCACCTGGTTGTGTCAGAGATCAGATAAAAGTGAGTGGTGTGAGACAACAGGAGAATCCTCACTCTTGTGTTGTCTGTATTTCAGAAAGGCACTCCTTGATCGAGGGTGGAGCACGATACTCTGCTGGCTTGTATGGAGACGAGCTTGCGTAAGAGTCCTGAGGTGGTCAAATGAGATGGTGTTTCCCGACTGTAACTGTGGGTAATCAATGTAAGGAGTCTCTTGATGGAAGAAGCAGTCTTCTTTTCAAGACGTACAGTGATGCCAGAAGAGTGAAGCGTTGTAACCTGAGACCAGGAATGACTTGGCAGAAGCGAGTCAAGAGTGGAGAGAAAGAGGTTGGAAAGGTAAAAAGTTCTTGCAGAAGGGAGGGGATTTAAATACTAAACTGGAAAGATGCTTCAACACAGAGCGACAAGAAAGTGATGTGGACTTGTCCTCATCAGGCCAACACAACCTATTGACCCATATTTATATAGCCACAAGATAGAGAAAGACATCACTATCTCGTCAACACATCAACTTCTCGGACATTACTATACCCCTAAAGCAACAAGTCAGGCGTTAGCTTCAGATCGGCAAAGTCCATCATCAGGCATCCTCCAATTCAGGAATCAAGGAGAACATGACCCCTCTGTTGAAATTTTATCATACATCAACACAAACGGATGCGCGTCTGGGGACAAACTAGACGTGACCCTTATTGGCCAACAAAGCACCCATCCTGCTTTGTCAGCATAAGCAAGCGTCACACAAATAATGTGTCACTTGATAACTTGATTGCTGGTTTTCCTGGTTTCTCAATACTCGCACAGTCGAAACTGCTTCAATCACAGCTAAAGCTACGATGACTTCCAAACACACCGGTCGCCGTTGATATTCATCAATCATTGCCTTCTCCATCATCCAACTGTCACAGTGGTTTTGATCCAGAAGAGCTCACGAAGTTATTAAGGTAAGAACACCTTAGCGCATACTATATCCATATTCTGATGAGCTCCTAATATATAGGGGTTGCACACCGACACGGGATGAGATGACAGCGACATACGAGGCACGCGCCAAGCAGCACCATGATCGACTCATTGAGATGGGTGGGCGGCCGACACGTCCAGTTCGGCTACAGCCAACATGGAATGCTACCTACAGAGATGGCCTGATTTACATTACTGACAACCAAGGGGAACTGGAGTGCACTCTCTCAGACGACATAGATCCAATGAACCATCATTGGTCAAGAGAAAGCGCACACTTTGAGAGAGAGCTGGAAAATTGGCAGAGGTTCAGGGAAAATCAGCAAAGACTTCAGCATTTGGACCGCCTGGAGACAGAGTTAGAGCTTGATGATACAGACGCTGGATTGATCAATGTTTTGACAAGATTGAGTGACTGGGAAGAGTTCGAGGTCTTTCAGGACCTGATTTGTGTCGACGCCTTCGATTTCGGGGACCGATGTCGCCTTAGTTTTTTACAGATCACAAAGTGGGAAGTCCCCGCTGAGAACTTCACTGCCAAGCTCCGCGGCCCATGAAGCGATTCGCACTTGGCTTCGTCTATTTAATCGAAGTCAAGAAGAAATTGAGGTTGCCGAGAACCAGTTGAACTGGATTAAGGGCGAATGGCCGAAACTGATAGCCGAATGTGTTGATTCTTTATCGAAGACGCCGGAGCTTCAATTAACATTGGAAGCGAAATTCAGAAAGCAGACCCTATGCCGCTTTCAGCGCCATACAGAAGCTGGGGGGCCGCCCAAGCCACACTGTCAGTCCGCCTGATCGAATCTATGGATAATCTCCATAGAATCTTGTATTGGAGTTCGGAGACTTCGAAGTATAAGAAAGAATTGTTAGATTGGAAGATGTTCCTCAAGTGGCGACGGCGTGACCTAGGTGAGAAACGACAAGAGTATCGGTGTCCCCAGTTCGATTCGGCCTTAGATTTCCCCATGGACAGTTTGAAAAGTTCCGGCTGTTTCAATATAACGTCGCCTCGACTTGGCTCAAATGCTGGCAGCGGGTTGTAAGATGGTACGAAGAGGAAGACGAGACGCCTGACCCGGATTGCACCTACCTGTGATATCTGGACGACTATACCGAAGCAGCGCGCTCACGTGTGAGAGACTCGGAGACAAAAGCTGGCGGAAGCCGCAAAACGACTCGAAAAGTCCAAGCAAGAGCACGCCTATACCCTCGCGGAGCACGGTCAATCCACTGGCGGTGAGATCGGGACAGAATATCCACAGAAGCCGTTTCCACCTACACCGCCTCCTTCAGACCCACAGTCTCCGCAGTCTTCACGGTCGGCTTCTTCTTCGCAGGTTTCGCCGTCTTCTCCTTCTCCGCCGTCTTCGCGGTCTTCGCAGTCTTCCAGCTTCTCAGTCTCCTGAGCGTCTTCCCAAGGATCGGAGACCATTGAGTAAGAGGAGCTCCCACCGAAAAAGGTCATCGACGATCGAAGAAGGAGAAAGCAAGAAAGAAGGCGAGTGGAGGAGCAAAGAATGGACAACACGAAACAGCAGACTCTTCCAACTTTTTCTTCAGATCCATGTCAGAGTGGGGAAGGATGATGATATCCAGATGACAGACTCCCCCCTGGGGGATCTAAGGCCAGTTGAGGCTATGGGAGAACTTCGAGGAAGCAGAATCCGAGGACCTAGTCATGACAGATTTTGAAGACCCTTCCAATCATATCTCATCATTTTCACCCGATTCTCGGTCTAGGCCTGCCACAAATACTGACTTCGGGAAATTGTCGTCGTCCTAACGCCCATGGTCCAACATCCAGAAAGACTCGATCTGCTACAAAGCTGAACCAAGCTCTTTCTGGCAGAGTTCTCAAGAATACAGACAAGAAGCCGGCCAAAAAGGCCAAAGAGTTCACAGAACAACAGACTATAATGTTATTGAATGCTGCATCAAACGAATATTCTCCTCCAGATTCTCCTCCGCTCCGGAGAAGTGAACGGCTCAAAGAGAAAGCTGCAGCCCCAGCCGTTACATCACCACCGAAACTCAACGCTACCCAATCTTTTCACTCATCAGGACAGAAGCATCCCCAAAAGGAATTTAATCTCGTTGAGCCCTCCCGAGCATCGAGGCACAAGAAGCCTAAGGTACAACCCAATGCGCTCGAATCATCCCAAACATCGATGCAGGAGAAGCCCAACATACACTCCAATACCATCAAGCCACCCCGATCATCAAGGCAGAAGAAGCTCGAGAAACGAGCCCGTGATTCAGCCCGCCCGGGTTGATGATGTCTGTACCCAGTATTCTTCTTCAACTTTGGCTCCAGGAGTTGGCGTCAGGGTTTGCCATACGTTCTCTGCTTGCATTCTCAATCCTTGCGTTTGATATGCTCAACTCTTAGATGTTTGAGTTTTCGATGCCTGCGATTTCAGACTGAGCGAATTTGGTGGACTTCTGGTGGAGCGGTTGGAGCTCCCACATACGACATATCGATCTCTGTCACATTACCACTCGACCTCTCACACCGCACATTCGATGGCCGCGACTGTTCACCTCGTCCTCTACACTTCCTAAGATGGTTTTTTTCTGGTGCCACTAGGAATGCTGGACTCCGGAATACGCTGATTGGGTGACCGGTGGAGATGGGCCGTCTCCTTCACTCCAATCTATTCGCTATATCTACAGATACTGGCCACCTAAAGGCCCCACCACAATACTTCGACTCCACATACCACAGCATGTTCGCCATACGTACAAACACTGGTCGTTTGAGGGCCTTGCCACATCTTTCCGAATTCTCTATATCACGATCTAGTCGCCATCCTTGCAAGCATTGCCGGTTCAACGGCCTAACCACGTCGCTCCGACCCCAATATATTATGACGTTCGCTCTGCCGTCCGAGACTGCCATTTCCTCCGCAAATGCGGCACCATACGAGATGTCACTCACATACATGCAAAATTCTGAGAAAGATCCTTCGATTACAATACCGGATAGAGCAATCTCCGGTTGATCAGCGCAGACTTGCGCAACAGCTGAAAAGAACACACATTCTTCGGCGTATTGGTACATTACCACCTTTCTCCCTTTCCCTATCACATTCACCACACTTCCCCGCGAGGTTCTGAGATGCGTTCTTCGGCTGCTCAACCATCCGAATTGAGCAAATCTCAGTCGACCGGCGGATCCCAATGTCACTTCTCAATGCCCGACACACTCTTCGAATAATCCCAAGATGCATGATCACAAGGTGCATTCTTTATTTATCTTGCCGTGGCTGGAGTTAGGATCGAGGAGTCTTAGTTGATCGGTGGCTACGCATTCATTCACTCTTCGATTGCTTCACGATAGCACGACCTTACCTCCCTTCTCTCACAAACTTTTCCGCGACGTCCTCAGCTACGCTCTCCGACTGCGCCACCGTTGATGAGTTACAGAAGAAGCTACTACTTGTTGATCGGCTACGCACTCCGGTTGCTCCACCACTGCTGGATTCCGGATCAAATAGTGCTTAGTTGATGGATTACAAGAGGCATAAGCTATCGAAGTGTGTATTTGGACATGGCTGATGGCAGTCTGCGTCGAGCTGTGGGGCGAGTAGACTACAAAATCGTGCGTCGGGCAGAAGGGATGGCACAGCGTGCGTTGAGTTGAGAGAAGAAGGGGCCGCAGAAGCATGCGTGACACGTGGTTGGTCGTAACGTGCGTGGAGTCGAGAAGGACATATGATACAGCAGTGTGAACTGAAGGCTCCTAATGGCGCACGGCAGAGCGCGCGGAGTCGAGAGAGGCATAGGCTACCGAATTGTATGCCAAATGGGATCCAGGACAGCGTGCGTCGTGCTCGAGAGAGCGCATCTCTATAAGAATATGTTTCAGTTGTGGTGATGGCGGTGTGCGTCCAGTTCAGAAGGGAATACGCTCCAGGAATACGCGCCGAGGTGGAGGCGAAGGCAAGGTACCTCGAATCGAAAGGGGCAAGGCAAAAGAAGGGTGCACCAAAGGGGAGGCAATGGTAGCATGCGATGCAGGCGAGGGGAAGTCTCGGCGCGAACCAGTCTACAAGTTTTCGGCTTTATGAGTGCAAGGAATTTCAAGGGTCTTTCACATGCTATTTTCATGCTCCACAATTCTATAATTGATAGAGGCTCTCATAGCGGAGGGTCTCGTAAATCTCACGACGGTATGCGATGTGTCAATTATAGAGCCCATTTGCAATTAGATAGATAGAAAGCATGTTGACTCGCTTAAGCAAGATCCTACCATCCTTTCATTCCTTGACCCTTGTGCTATTGCGGCTCTTCTTAGAATGCCCGCGATATGTACGCAAGCTCGTGCATAATAGACGCTCATGCAAACCGCTCATGCAAACCGCTTATACAATTGTTTACAGAAACCGCTTATCCAAACCGCTCATGCCAAACCGCTCATGCCAAACCGCTCATACGTACCGAGATTACTATCTATCAACGTCGTCACCTATCCACATCTATCCACACCCCAATTCATACACGTCGTCGCTCCTCCAAGTCGCTCATTCAACAACAAAACCAACACACAAACTCATCTACCCTAGACCGGTATGCGATACGCCAAAAGTACACCCCATCCTATCAGGCCTGACCCGACACCTAAGCTTATAGGGCTTAATAGGGCGTATTCGTGCATGAAGCGCGATACCCACCCATTTCTGGGCCTATAGCCTAGTGGTTAACACTGCTTACACATCCGCAATCAGAAAGACATATAGAACCCCTCCGGGCCTGTCAAACAAGATTGCTACGCCCTTTCCATTCCATACCCGTAGAGCTATGCGACACCATGCTACAACCATCTGCCAACATCATCAAAGACCCCTTTAGCAGAACCCCTCAGCCTAGGCCTCCACAAGCGCTTTCGAAATAGTACCCCCGATGCAAATGCGAAGCTACTAGAAGCGGGGTAAGAGGGTTACAGTACGTGCATGATTGGAGCTGGTTTCTTCGGTATCAGATCTGGGGTGTCGGCAAGACTTCTCGCGGCAGAAGGCAAGGTTTTGAGATTTAGCAACGACGGCTCTCGCACGTGAAGAATGCCCAGTGTTATCTACTGCGCGCAGCGATGTGGGGGTCCATTGCTTTCGCGAGAGCTTGTAATATTGAAGCCAAAGACTGGAGCAGATGGGGTTCCAAATCTGGCATACGGGTCACGTTCGGTGTTCGTATTCGTACATCACAAGATCTTATCAATTCAAAACAGGACTGCCAGAAGAGCACACTTGTAGAACAGATTGCATTTCTCAGAGCTTATGTTCAACTATCCACCTGATAGCAAGAAGTAGATGCATGACAAAGCTAGAACTGCAAGAACACCACCGACATGATTAATAAAGCGCTCCTGGGGGTATCTATCGTATCAAGCAATATGACCTCCTCCAAACGCCCAAAGCGCAAGTCCAGCTTTTTATAACGATCAAAATATGTATGCACCGCCCTCGCACTGAATGCGGTGTCAGAGGCAGGCGAGATATCTGCCACAATCCCGCTCTTGTAGGAATGTAAGTAGTCAAGCTCAAGACCTACCATTAGAAGGTCTATCAGCTTCACGACTCAGGAAATCCTCAAAGTTCTTGTTCATCGCTTCCCAATGCGCAGGACCGGGCGTGGGAGCCAGTGCACGCTTTAGTTTCTTCCTTTTGTGCTGCTCATCCGCTGGATCGCTGCGCTTTCGACCGCCTCTGTTCTCCTTCGATTCATTCATTTTTCCATTCACCTCTGTCGTGTTACCATTGGCGCTGTTCCTAGGAGTTGACCCAGAGGTATCCGGAACTGTAATAGAGTCTTCGATGTGTTTCTGCAGGTCATGAGAAGTAAAATCAGGAGTTCCGCTGAGACGCCGGCGAGCACCGAAACGTGGGTGCGTTTGCTTTGGGGCTCGAACGGAAGCGCCTTTTCCTGCCGTGGAATTAGAATCAGGTAATGACCCAGTTTGGGGCTGATCTAGGTTTGGCGAGACGGCTGCGCTGGGGTTTGCGATTGTAGGCTCATAGAGCAAAGGCCCGCCAGCTGGAGCCGTCGACGGGGGAAGCAACATGTCTCCCGTGGCTATCAAGGGGTGGTCCCAACGCGACGGTTGGGTACTGTGGGCATGGTGTTTAGAGGCTCCTGACTGTTGAGGGAATGAGGCAACGTGCTGTCGGAGCTTACGAGCCTCTTCCTCCCTACGCCGAGTCATCAATGCATTATGAGCTATTGGGTCCCGACGGGACAGCTCGAAGTCCTTCTTCATCTGTTCAGCCTCCTTACTCTCCTCTGGTGTCAGTTCTATACCATCCTCGATATGAAATGTCTCGGACGGCGTAATTGAGAGAATGCGGTTGCTAGAAATGGGGATCAGCAGAGGAAATCTAGGAGAAAGGGTAGACGTGTGCTTACGTTGTCTGGTCAGCTAGGAGATGGTCTAGAAGAGCGTCTTCATTCAGGAATTGACTCAAGTCCTCCTGTTTGACAGTCTTCGGTAGGAATAAATACTGACCGGCACCTTTGACAGCGTGGCGATTTGGATTCTTTTTATCGACCACTCGATTAGCAAGCTGCTCCTTGAACAAAGCTTGATTTTGGATTGCTTGCTCAAAGGTGCCGCCTACGGTGAGACGATAGACGTAGACCGGTTTCCGTTGTCCGATGCGGTACGCTCTGCCGATGGCTTGCCGTTCCCACATTGGGTTGAAATGGTCGTCTATTATTACCACTCGATTGGCACCAAACAGATTCAGCCCTGTTCCCCCAGCTCTTGTGGATATCAAACAGATGTTCATCTTGCCCTCATTGAACTCTTTGGTGATTGGCTGCCGCTTCTCTGGCAGCATCTTCCCGTCAATACGAGCGTACGGCTTGTTTGCCTCGGCAAGCCGGTCGCCAATGAAGTCAAGGGTTGAAATCCTATGAGAGAAGACTAGGACCTTGTCCTGGGCAGCTTCAGCGAATTCTAGGACACTCATCAGGACTTGCATCTTGTTGGACAGACACAGAGCGTCAACGGGTGTAGCCAACATCTCGAACACCCTTTCGCTCTCGCTTATAATCTGTCTCAGACCAATCCTGGAAACGGGCTCGTTCAATTGAACGGCATCTTCCTCGGAGCCAAGCGGCCCTTCCTCAGCATCGGATTGGCGTGCCTTCTTTTTGCCACAGAAGGCTTCGTCTTGGATGAGTATTCATATTCAGCTCTGAGCGCGAGGAGACCCTCCCTAAAGCTTTTGGGGTGATTGCAAAGGAGTTGGAGAAGGCCGAGCCAGGACCAGAGAAGAGCCTGTTTGGGTTCACCCCCCTTACTGGCACCAAGCATGGATCCTGTATAGATACGATAAAGGTCGTCCTGGAGCTTGGTGAGTGGGACCGTGATGACAAACTCCATCTTACCCTTCAACTCGGCATGCAGAACTGCGTTTCCCCTTCGATGGACCTTCGGCTCCAGCTCCAATTCCAAAGCTTTCAACCTCTTCCGAGACTCTCGGTACTGCGAATCGGAACTGTCTCGGTACAGTCCTGCGTAGATAGGGCTCTTCGTAAGTTGCAAGAAACTCTGCGGGCTTTCCCAGGTAATCTGGCGCAATCCAGTCAATCATTGAATAGTATTCTCCGAGACGATTAGCCAATGGAGTCCCCGTGAGTGCGATCCGACTCGTAGTCTTGATCTGATTGATGGCTCGATTGATATCTGAAGCTCGATTCTTGAAATTGTGGGCTTCATCGGCTACGACGAGACTGGGGCCTTCTAGCAGAGCTTTCTTGATCCTCTGATGCTGGGATTCGTCAAGCGCAGGTGGTCTGTTTGCCCGCGATTTGTTCTGGATCAATTCTGTGAAAGTAGGATATCCAAGTATCAAGACACCACCTTCACTACTCCAGGCTAGGATTTCATTGAGGCGTATAGGGAGTCCGATTGCCGAGCTCACTTTCCGAAGCTTGCCAAGAGAATTGGACGATGATGGAGGCCATATCAAAAGCTCGTCCCACCAATTCTCTACCAATGTGACTGGGCATAGTATGAGGGTTCGGCTTTCGCGAAGCTCGAGTGGGATTTGTTGACGGATATCCTTGTTTTCAGAAATCGATGCTTCTGCGATGGTGACCAGCAGCGAGATGACCTGCATGGTCTTTCCAAGCCCCTGAGCATGAGCAAGCAGACATCCTTGTAGGTTTTGATGATCGCCAGTGATTTCCCGCCACATGAACTGTAAGCCCTCCTTTTGATGTGGTTTCAAGCGAGCTCCATTTCCAAAGGCAGGGTTAAGCCGGACAAATTCCTCATCCTCAAGTTTGCCGGGGTTGACGATGACTTCCAGTGGATCACCCGCCTGAGAGCTCATTTTGGAGAGTCTGGACTTCAGTTCCTCTCGCCGACGGCGCTCTTCGTCGCCACGCATTCTTTCTTGAGCGGCTTGTCGTTTGTCTAGGGTTTCTTGACTCTCTGTCACAAGGTACTTTCTCTTCCGAAACGGGCTCTCTTGTGGACTTTCGTCAGATTCTTCTCGAAGTACCCGGAGTCGCTTCTTTTTCGACTTGATACGATTGGGAAGAGCAGGAGCAATCTGGTAATGTTGCAAACATTCGAGCAAGAAGTCGTAGAAAAGCTCGTATCCGTCGTCCTCCAAAGTTGCAATGATATGGGGGGTCTGAAGACCTTCAGGTGTTATCTTCACAGGTATCGTCCAGCAAACACGCCATGTGGCAACCCGCATGATGCTGTCTGAGTCTTCCTTGTCCATGTTTTTTAGGCGTCGCTTGTGATTGCGAAGCTCTGTAAGGCCTGATACCACGTTCGCGCGAGAGACTTCCATGCTCGTTTGATTTAAGTAGCTAAACGCAGACTGTCGTTGGGATACTGATGCATGGGCCACCATCCATTTCAGTAGTCGCTTTCTGTCCTGCCTTTCCACCAACTCGGCAGCATTCATATTCCTGATTTTGTCAACATCGTCCAATGCTGGAAATCGATTAGGTGGATCAAGATTTCGATATCCCACGGAGTCGTTGGAGTCACTTTCTAGGCAAATGATTTCCGTGGTCTTGGTTGGAGATTTGGGCACCGTAGGAGGCATCCTAAATACAGGCTTCTTACTGCGACTGCGCTGGAATATCTCGCTGTCATTTTCGCTGCTGTACAGAGGCGGCGTCTGGATTGCATAAGAAGGCTCGTGCTTCGGAGCGGAGATTTCTGGTTCCACAGGATCTGATTGCTGAGTCAAGTCGATGACACTGGACGGAGAAGGTGCAGGCTGACCGAATTTCTCGGTTCGCTTAATTGGTGTCTTTGGCTTTGGCCCCTCGACGATCAAAGTGTCGGAGTCAATGCCATCTTCGACATCGGCCATCGTTAGGTCATCATCAACAACTACAGGCTGATAGATGTCTTCGTCGGCGTCGTCTTCGACGATGAAGTCCTCCAAGTCATCTTCTGAACTGTCTGGGGTTTCGGTATCAGCCGTAAGTATCTCTTCGCCATCTTTGAGTATCTCCCCAGGCCCTAGGCTCTTGGCGCGCCTGGGTTGTCTTGTTTCAGGCGGCAGTTTCTCGGGCGCTTTCTGCAATTGCAATGTGGCGATCTTCCATTTGTAGTCTTCACGGTCGAAGATAGAGTGTTGCATGGATTTGCATTGTTTGTTGATTTGACTGGACTTTGACCATTCCTCTTGAGCAATCTCCTTTCGAAGACCAGCGATACGAGCTTCAAGCTTCTCGAACTCATGGGTGAACGACTCAATCTGGTTTCGTGAATCTCGATTTCGTCTGGATTTCGCCCATAGACGCCATTGCTTGAATTTAAGCTTTGGCAGCCTCTTGAGAGTCCACTCGCAGACGATCTGCTCCACTGCAACATCGATCGCGCCTTGAATCTCCGCGCTTGTCAGCTTTACACTTTTTGACAGACCTAGTGGCCGTGCGATCTTCCCTCGTTCTTTCTCCATCTCACGCCATGTCTCAAGATCGTATTCTCCCTCAGAATCCGAATCACCGTACACAGGAAGAACCTCATCTTTCCCATCCATGAAGTTCCACTTCTCAAGGGCCTTCCACTCGGGATCTTCGCTCTCATCTCGGGCAAGAGCCGGGTCAGCAACGTTGAACACGTTGCCTGTCCTTCCATGGACCTCTGTTGCGTCGGGGACGACTTTGTCTATGGTCCACTTTGAACGATTCGCTCTTGATGCTATGACACCCTGGGAAGACGGGGAAAATACGGTGATGGACAGAGGGCAGTTTTTCTTGCTAATCCTATCAGGGTAAGGGATAACTCCAACATGGCCACGTCCGTCTCGCTCCAGTGATACTCTTTGGCCCCTAAGAAGGTATTTCATACGGGCATTGACGTATAGGCGTTGGCCTTTAGCGACATCGTTGTTGGGAGCAATGTTGAAGTCATCAGGCTCATCTGGTGGTACTAATTGTGACGAGGTTCCCACCGCCTGATCTTTGCCCAAATCCTTGCCCAGAGCGACATCGCCGTAGACCAAATTGTCAATGGGCATCGACTCGAATCCGAGATAAATCTGGTCTGCCTTTCTCTTAGCTTTCTTCCCGTATGACCGCTGCAATAGGTGTTCTGTATGTTCGACCTCTCGCAAATCTGGTACAGACGAGCCGACGGTGTCATTCGCCTTCTTCAGAATTGGCTTAACGGTTTGCCGATCTTCAGAGTCGAGATCGGCTTCGTGGACCAGGAAGGGTCTCATTCGCTTTTGTCCATTATCATTGATCAATACAGCTCCAGGCTCTGCCGCCGCGTCTACTGAGTCCAGTGCGGAACCTGACATCGACGTGGCCGCCTCCACAAGAACGGGAGGCTTCCGGGACTCCTGTAAAAGCTCGTCATCAAAGTTTGGACAGTCAGAAATTGATAAGACATTCGACTCGAAGGATGTATTTGCGTTTGTGTCTTTTCGAAGAGTCTCCGGGGAGCTGGGTGGTTCATCGAAAGTTGACGACTTCGGTGCAATGGTCTGTGTTGGTCCTGAGGCACTAGGCTGGGCTAGGACCAAACGCCGCCTTTTCTTTCCTGTGTCATCGACGAAGATAGTCTCGTCTTGAAGACCAAGTCGTTCAGCTTGCTCTGTGTTAGAAGCATTCTTCGCGTTGCTCAAAGGTTCCTCGTGAACCAAAGCTATCACGCCGGGATTGTTCCTGGTCTCTTGAGGCTTGACCTCATATAATTTTCCTTCAGTCATGTTGATTCCCAAGCCTTCTCCAACTTGCATATCTTCCAAGGAGCGGAATGTGATTGTATTCGGTCGATCAAGTCTTTGGAGCTCAGGCCCTTCCTTGAGGTCATCGCGAGGCTGTGCTGGAGGTTGACCAGGCCCAGAGTAATTCTGCACCTGCGCAGACGAAGCGGATGGGGAGGTCGTCAATGCCAGTGCCCTAGAGGCAGCTCGCGGCTCGAAGGATGATGGAGTTGCAAGATATGGAGATCCTATTCGTGAACCCAAGCCCACACTCGATAGCCTAGCAGAACGCCGAGCCTGCTGCTCCTGAAATTTCGGGGACATATCTTGCAGCTCCTGGATGATATGCTTGATAGTGGCCCTGTGGCCCATTGACTTGATCCCTAAATCATCTCGTAGAGAAGAGGTATTGACCTCTGTGAGGAGGGCAAGCCCTGTAACATCGTTTTCGCGGAGGATTTCGGCGAGGATGCTGGCATCTGGCAGTGACGATCGCGCATCTTCTGTAAGCAGCCGGCTTTCAGGGTCGGTCAGGGCGAATATCACCTGATCGACTGTCCAATCCCGCGGGTCCTGGATTGACGAAGGCGGTCCTTCGATTGACGGTTGTATGAATGACATGCTTGCCCAGGTAGATAGATGGGTAGGACTACCTGAGCCAGCGTACGATATTGCACATGCAAGGAAGCAGTGAGATTGTAGGTAGTAGTAGGAAAGATGTCGTTCTCTTTCTAAGAATCATAGCGAGCAGGAGATGTCGTGATGAGACAGGAAAGGAGTGACGATGGATTTGTAGTGAATGTTTCGGACAAGGTGCCTTTCTGTTGGATCCCACGATTGATCCTCACTTTCAAATCAGTCAGTAATGTTCCTGGTAGATGTTGTGCAGGTGTCTACCTTGTTTCGTTGGTCACTGCGTCTTCTTCACACCCATCTTTGGTGAAACCTCAATTGTACTTTGCAGCATTAGCTGATATTAAATACAATTTCTCGAGAATCGAAAGCTGCGACACTAGTAGGAGGGACCAATATATGGAGAGCGCAATGTTTTGGTTGCGACTGCAGGTTGCTTGCAAATGTGACGCGCCAAGTTTATCCCCGAGGTGCTCTTATACCCGAGCTTAGAAATTCACCTCACGTTATTCATCTTGGATTTGTATCACTATGTGAGAGCATTCGTTCTCAAAGATAAAGACTAGGCGCAGCTCAAGATGGCCGCATTAATCTATCCTGACTACCCTCCGACTCTGACATCAGAGCAATCGGACTACATTGTCTCCAATATCAAGGACTGGTCAATTCTCAGTGGCTTGGCTGTGCGGCCCTCTTCATCTTTTGTGTCGGAAAAGATAGATCCTTCACGATCTCTCGCAGTAACCGCACCTGTCACTCTGTTTCCTAGCCTCTTTCCTAGAGAGTGCTTTGAGGAAGCTCGGGCAATCCAGACTGCATATAATGAGCTGTATGCGTGTATTGCGAATGATGAAGAATGGCTAGGAGAAGTCGTGAAGGAGTATGCGTGCATTTTCTACCTCGTCAATACCTACGAAAATTTCCGTTGCTCTGACCATGCTCAGAACATAATATGTTTTAATTGGCAGGGAAGGGGGTTTTGTCTAATCAGCTGCTACCTTGTTTCTCGGAAATCTACACAAATTTATCTGGGGAGTATATGGATTTTACTGTTTCCTAATTGTGTGTTTGCAGATTAGCCGAAGTAGATGATTTCATCTCAAATCTATGGAATGTCCATCAAGCAGTGAAGAAGGAGGGCTATGTGCAGGTACTTCAGATTTATTCACTACCTCTTCGAGGTGCACATGTACTGAGTCAGCGCAAAGGACCTCTCTCTGGGTATCTTTCGTTCAGATTACATGGTTCACAAGGATCCATCAAACCAAGAGGCCAAGCCCGAGATCAAGCAAGTCGAGTTCAACACAATTGCGTCTTCTTTCGGAGGTCTCTCCGCTAAAGTCTCGGCTCTTCACAAGTACGTTCTTATGTATCTGCTGCCATCTGCGATCCTGATGATTACATTAGGCACCTCCTTTCCATCTCCGCCTACCCACCCACTATTCCACCACTCATATCTGATTCCTCGCTCCCTCCCAACCCATCCATCGCATCACTATCCCGCGGCATCGCCACTGCCCATAAAGCATATGGCCGCCCCAAAACCAGCTCTCAGTTGCCCCTTTGCACCCTCTTCATCGTTCAAGATCTCGAAAACAACGCATTTGACCAACACGCTTTGGCTACCAATCTTCTTACAGACCATAGTGTCCTCACCTTCCGCCTTCCTTTCTCTACCGTACTCGCCCATACAAGTATACCATCCGACTCGCCATCTCAACCTCTAATCTACACACCACCACACTCCCCAAGTACCCCTTACGAAGTAACGACCCTGTACTTCCGCGCCGGCTACTCGCCCGCCGAATACACCTCCCCAAACTCATGGAATGCACGCCTCCATCTCGAGCGATCAGCAGCCATCAAATGCCCCTCCATTCTGACACACTTGGCGGGGTCAAAAAAAATCCAACAGATCCTGGCCACACCATCCTCGCCTCACTTATCCCGCTTCTTGTCATCTACGGCATCCGCGGCATACATAGACCGCATACAGGTCACCTTCGCTGCCATCTTCCCTCTTGATGATACGGCAGAAGGTAAACACGCGATCGAAATCGCTACTGATCCCGAGAGGATTAGAGGTTACGTTCTGAAACCGCAGAGAGAGGGCGGCGGTAACAACATTTACGGATTGAAGATACCGCCCTTCATCAAATCCTTGGGTGATGACAGCAAGAAATACCGAGGCCATATCCTTATGGAATTGATTGAGCCGCCTGCGCTACGGAACGGGGTCTTCAGGAATGGGGAGGTCACGATGGGTGAGGTGATTGGAGAGCTAGGAGTGTATGGAGTTTGCCTTTGGAGACATGGCCGCGATGAGAAGGGAGAGCGAGAGATACTGGAGAACTGGGAGGCAGGACATCTGTTGAGGACGAAAGGCCGGGAAAGCGAGGAGGGCGGTGTAGCAGCTGGATTTGGTGCAGTTGATAGCGTTTGCTTGATAGACGTATGATCGCAATGGCGTTCTCCTCTCATCACCAAATGAACATGGCTAAACCTAAAATGACCCGAGCATGATGCATACACATACTCTATGCTCTTGCAGCTAGACACGCAAATTCACACCATATCTCTCTCGGGGTAGCAATTTAAGAAGGCCAGGCCAGGCCATAATGCATTGCCGTCCTCTCCATAGAAAAGCAGTCGTTCATCGTCAAATTTTTGAGGATCTGTAGAATGTACCCTTGCGACTGCATGGAAATCCGATATCTAGCCGTGCTGGCTTGGTACGCATGTTTTGCCGTAGCTACGGTCATCTTTACAGAAACCTTGTGCCAAAATTCTTCAATCTCGGAAAGTCAAGAATATAGGTGGAACTTGGGACCTCTCTATCCCTCCTCGAACAATGGCCTCGCAAAAACTCAAGCTCTCCGCAAAAGCCCATCTCCCGTTCAAAAGTAAGAACAAGGAAAAGCGGCAGTCCCTCCACATAAACAGAAAGAGAGCCACTGATAGCATCAAACGAGATGAACGGTTCCGCCGACGACGAGAAGAGGACAAAAATCCCACTTTACGAGAACAAAGGCTGAAGGAAAACGTGCCATTGACATTGGAGAGGAAAAGAGTGTGGGATGATGTGGATAGTGATGTTGGTGACGGGCTAGGAGTTTCTGTAAATATCGAGAGATTGAAGAGGAGAAAGGTCGAGGAGGAGCAGGCTGCTTTGGAAGAGGGGGAAGAAGAAGAAGGAGAAGAAAGGTCCGAAGGCGAAGATGAAGAGAGGGATAGCATGATCGAGTCCGCCAGCGAAGACGAGGCAATAGAAATTGCGAAACATGCGAAGGCTCCGAAGAGAAGGACGCCTACAGAGCGTGCAACATCTCCCGTTCAATCCACGAGAAGCACGAACCTCGATTTCACACCTGAAGCTCTCGCAGCCAAATTTCCTACCCTGTTCTCCACCGACGCCCCTCCTGTCCCGAAGGTTTTGATCACGACATCTCTCAACTCGACTCTTCACAAAGAAGCCGACCACCTCACGTCTCTCTTCCCCCACTCAGTCTACATTCCCCGATCCTCACACCGGTACAGCCATAAGTTCTCGGTCAGAGAAATCTGTTCCTTCGCTACAAAGTACGTTTTACATCTCGTAACGTTTCCTTCCTATCTTGTACCGCAATCCGAGTTCTGAGACATGTTTCGAGATTTGCGTAAATACCTACCTTGTCTTACGGCTCCTTATCCGTTTCAAAGAAGCAGCACTGACTTGCAGAACTTGAAGCCGCAAATATACGGCTGTTATCGTACTCAAGGAAGATTTGAAAAGGCCGACGGGCTTAACAGTCGTACATTTACCCCACGGGCCTACCTTCCATTTTACCATATCGAACTGGATTGAAGGGAAGCGTCTGCCCGGCCACGGAAATGCTACAGATCACACGCCCGAGCTCATACTCAACGGTTTTTCTACGCCTTTAGGGTTACTGGTGGCGCATTTGATGAGAACATTGTTCCCAGCTCAGCCTGAGCTGCAAGGGAGGCAGGTGGTCACGCTACACAACCAGCGTGATTACATCTTCGTGCGCAGGCATCGCTACGTTTTCAGGGACAAGCGAAAGACGGAGAAAAGTGTCGTGGGCGCAGACGGAAAGGAAGTGAAAGGCGCGGAGGAAATTAGGGCCGGATTGCAAGAGCTTGGGCCAAGGTTTACGCTCAAGCTGAGGCGAGTTGACAAGGGAATACAGAGGGCTAGCGGGCAGGAGTGGGAATGGCAGGGTGGAATGGAGAAGCAAAGGACCAGGTTTCAGCTATGATGTGTGCATATCAGAGATACCCAATCAATCAATCCCGCATTCATGCAAGCTTGCAATCCCAGGCCCACAAGAGTAGAAAGTACAATGTTTCGTTTCTCCTGGGCGATGAACAATACCGATCCCAGGGGTATAAATACAATTGTCCCCAAAGCACCCCGATGGACACACGCCAACGATGAGTACATAGAGCTGATAATGTATTCCAGCGCCCATAATCTTTACACCCCATCACACACTCCCCGCCCTGAACACCACCTACTCGCCCTCAATCTGTCCCTCAGCCCTCGGATCCCTACGGTCCAGGATTTCAAAATTCCCTAAAAATTGCCGTCAGCACGTCCCACCGCGTTGCGCAAAGCCGGAAGAAAAAAAAACGCTCACTCTGCACGATACTCAACGCGCTGGAGGCGATCCCATCCTTGTTTTGGAACTTGTTCATGCTGCAGTCGCCTTCGACGTATACGAGGGAGCTGTGCGGAAGCAAAGGGTCAGCAAACGAGTCGCATCATTCGTCCCCAAAGACTGCATTCGACATGCCATCAATGAAAGCATCGTCCCCGTTCAATCGCAGTCCCCAACGCTCCCAAATCCACCTCCCAGCCCCGCCCTCCCTACCACACCCACGCACGAAAAGAAGGAAAAAAGGTAAAAGAAAATCCCCACCCACCCCTTCCCCAACGCCATCAAGTGGTCCCTCGCCCCGCCCTCGGGCAAGAACGACGCGACCTTCCACCAACTCGTCTGCCTGTTGTCTTTGGGCCCGTGGTTCGTCGCCAGCGCGTACCTGAGCATGTCCTGCCCCCCGCTCGTCGCGACGATTTCCGGGGCGTCGGCGAGACGGCCGACGATGATCATGCGGGCGAGGCGGGAGGCGGGGGAGGTCGAGAAAGGGCGGCGGGCGGTTTGGAGGCGGAGGAGGGTGGAGGAGGAGGTGGGGCGGAGGGAGGTCAGGAATGACATCTTGGGTTGTGAGTTATGGTAAGTTTGGATGGCGCTGGGTTGGTTGGGAGTCGAGTTGTTTGGAAGTTTGGGCGGGGCGATATGCTGGATGTAAATTTGACGAGGTGGAATCAGCTTGGGAAAGTCGCGACAGATTAAAGGAGGCTAGCCGCAAGTCAGGCTTCGGCCAATCAGCTTCCAGTATTTCAGTCTACTGAAATATAGTCATATCGCAGCATTTCTGAGGATCAACATCCGCGGTCGAAGAGATGTATTTCACAATTGATGCATGATTAAATGTGCTATGTGCTATATGCTGAAATCAACGCTATTCCAGATGCAATGTCGCCGACTGACCAGACTCCGCAGCCTCCCAGAGACGCCAGAATCCAAAATAGAGATCATGGGAATGGTAGGTAGATGCGACCAAATCCACAATGCCCATCGCTTCCATGTTCGAGCCCGAACAGGTCTTTGTGATGTGTGTAGTGTAGATGTATAAGCTCCCAGTGCCTTTATGCATGGTCCATCCGCCTGAACGGTCACCATACGAAATCCAGACTAAGCACGATCCGTGCTTGCAATTGAGTCACTATGATGATTGCCACTGTTGTGGAGATCTGTTCGAGTTTGCTTCATAGCGACGATTGGGCGCTGACAGGTGGGCATCAACAAGGAACTTTGTGAGCCATGAATGCGGGAACTTTGTGGAAGGACCCTTCTCGTCCATAGAATCTGTTGAGGTGCTTAGAGCGTCGCCGGCTCTGGGCCCGTTTTCGTTGATCGTCGAGAGTCGGCCAAAGCCCCTCTGTTGTTCGACTGGGGATAGAGTCGCAGTTGATGCGGTGGTAGAATCTCCTTTGCTGTGTCTGATGGTGTTAGTATCAGGAAGAGTAAAGGGGCCGTGTTCAAACTCACAAAGAAAGCATCGACATCCGGAACAATCGGTCCTTGAAGAAGCTTCGTGTTCTACTGCCAAAAGAGCCGGTCTTGCTGCTTGTTGGCAGGATTGTACGGCGAGCAGGTTGGCGGTGTAGACCAGGAAACACTCGTCCAAATCCAAGCTTGAGGAGCCATTTGCGGTACAGAGTCTGTGCGTCTTGACCCAATCCGAAGAACAGAAACACTCCATATCCAAGAGCAATTTGAATCCAGCGGTCGTAGTACACCTCACCACCAGTAGGTATCAGCATGATGTCCTGCCATTGTGGACTATGAATCAAGTCCCAGCTGTATGGGAGCAGAGGAGGCTCGGCCGAGTTGAAGAAGAGGTTATAGAACTGAAGCGGGATAAAGGTGACTATGAGTGCCATTGACAGGAGAAAAAGGCGTAAGAACCGATTCTTTGTCAAATTGGAATTCGACGATACGAGGATTTCTGAGAAGTCTTTGCGGTATCTGCGCATTCGGACGATGACCAGGACTGGTGAAGTTTAGCTCAACAAGCACCCTATGGGACGGAGTATACACATACCACTGTAGTAAGCATCTACAAGACAGATAATCGGAGGCCAGATGAACACTAAGACTAGCTTGGGCCAACTGTTGTCGAAGGAAGACGTACATCCAGATATTGCGTAGATGTAGTATCTGTTTGGCTGGACGATGTAGTGAATGAGCATGACGTATACGGATCCTCCATAGCAGAACAGACAATTGGTAATGGTCTGTCTGCGGCGTTGTTCCTTGCTTAGGGATAGAATTGTCTGCTCAGGATCCAGGGCCTTTGCTAGATTGCGCATGATGCACGCCATGGAGCCAACGACACCAAAATTGATAGCCATCTGGAGTTTGATCTCGATGTCGCAGAGAATCTGACCATGCCACCAATGCTGTATGTCGTCTGTTGGCCAGATGAGCGGATTGATGAAGTTCATGAGGTTGGAGATGATGACCCAAAACACCAGGCTTGATGCTGCTAGATTGCGATTCCTGATATGCCAGACAAATGGAGGAACATCGATGATGAGCGCTATCAATGACAATATAGGGACTGCGACCGCATTAGGCGTGACTGGAAAGGTTGATTCGTCCATCGTAAGTGATGTGCGAAGACGATACTGGAGTGAGGTTTGCAGTAAAGTAGTTATGTTGATGGGATAGAGTAGGTTGTGTTGATGTTAAGAAAGAAGTGAGGCCTGCCCGAGTGGTGAGCCAGACCAGCTGCGCTTCCTTGGCCAGCAAGAAGCAGATGGCGAGGAGTCTTACGCTGCTCTAGCTAATGCGTAAGATGTACTGAGTTGAGGCGGAGGCAAGAGAGCTTGTCTGAATGGCTCGCTTCAAGGCAAAGTAGATATAGAGTTGTCTGCTTGGGAGGTAGCTATCCGGAAAAAAATATGTTTGACGATGTAACGAAATGGTGTAAGATGTAGAAAGGTCAAGACCGGGGTACAAGGCAGATGTATTTGCAATGCGGACCTATGAGTTTTCGAAAAGATATAAGTAGAGCCTCGTGAGGAAGCAAGTTCACTGCGTCAATAGAATAACGTTGGATGCCAATAGCCGTGCCGGGTTTTTTTTTTCGCAAATGCAAAAAACTCAAAAGGGAAGTTGTGGTTACTACTAGAATGCCAATAGCTTATTGACAGAGAACTGAGGAAATGAGATGTGAAGCAGACCTTGGTGGTTGTCTCGAAGCAATCGTGGTCTGTTGTTCCCTTTTTGGGTGTCAATAGGCAAGACATTGACATGAACGCCAATAAAAAAAGGCCGACGAAAGCAGAGAGACGGCGGGAGTTCTTCTCCTCTTTTTCCGTTACTACGAAGAGGAAGCAGCAAAGTCATCGCACGAGGCCCGATTTTGCCCAGCAAAAAGTCTTATGCAAGCGACATGAAGATTCATGGTGGATGAGCCCCGGCTGCCTCGGATACGCTTCAACTTTGCTGCAGCGAACGAAACGACAACCCTTGGCTGATGGTAGGAACAAGGCATTGTGTCTATGCTTTGATCGTCCGGTCCTTGATGATGAAGCTGGGAGAAACGGTTGAGGTATGGATGGAAATTGGAAAAGGTTTGAGTCTCTCGAGGGTCGGTGCTGGCCTGGAACAAAGGTGGTGCCAATTGCCATTTAATTCACCACTCGGGCAACCTTCCAACGGCAAAAGGGTCATACCTAGCTGAACATAAAGTACGTTCAGTCATCAGTGCCAGATTGCCAACATTGGTTCCTGAGCTTCTTGGCTTCAACTTCGATCGTAGAGTACATAGCCGCGCAGCAGCGGAAGGAGCCGCCAGACACGCGGGAAGTTTCCTGTTTTGTCGCAGGTACTACTACTCTAGTACCTACCGTACTAGTACCAACTACCAACTCTACCAATATACATGTCGTCACCGAAATGTTTCATCTTAAAAGAGCATTCCACGGCTCCTTTTTCGCAAGGAGTTGATCATGTGAATTCTTTGCCCATTTGGCTGCCAAGCCATGCGTGCGGCCGTATCCGCTCAGCAATCCAATTTCAGACTGCAGCTGCCCATCATCCACAACACCATATCACTCACAGCCCAACGGGACCACAATATGGAACGTGACCGGACAATGAGTCCTTCGAATGACACCCCAACACCCATGGCGAAGAACACAGCGCGACAAAGCGATTCTCCTATTCGCAGTCGGCTGTTAGGACGCGCTTCGACCATCGCGGATATATCGAGTCCTCTAAGACATCGTCGAAGCTCCAACTTCTCGGATTCCGTCGAGAGCACACGAAAATCCATCAAATCGTCCACGGAAAGTCTCTTACTGCCGACAGCGACGAGTCCAGAGCTGGAAACAAACCATGAACCCTCTCATTGGCACTCTGTGCCGCTCGCTCTGGCGCTGCTCCCGGCCGTAGGTGGGCTGTTCTTTCACAATGGAAGCGCTGTGGTAACAGATTTGACCTTGCTGGGTCTGGCGGCGGTGTTTTTGAATTGGTCTGTAAGACTACCTTGGTGAGCTTCAGTCCAACACATTTCCTTGCTATCTAAACTTACACCGAGGCAGGCACTGGTACATTTCAGCGCAGTCCGTCCAACTCAGTGACCAGCTACCTACTAATGATGACTACATTTCCGACACCATTATCGAAGAGGGCAGTGAAGAGGAGGAACAACATAGTCCACCTGTCTCACCGCTAGACGGAGCCAATGATCCTAATCCAAAGCCCGCACAACCTTGTCCGTCTCAAAGCTCCGCAACAAGCGAGCTTCGGATCCATGAGCTTCTTGCACTCTTAATGTGCTTCCTTTTCCCAGCAGGCGGTGCATGGCTCCTCCACCACATCCGTGGCCAGCTTACCCGCCCATCAGAAGGCCTCGTCTCGAATTACAATCTCACGATCTTCCTTCTAGCCGCCGAATTGCGGCCCCTCTCCCACCTCATCAAACTCGTCCAAGCGCGAACCCTACATCTGCAACGAAACGTCAATACCAATGCCTACTCCACTACCTCCAGAAACATGTCTTCCGCTACGATTGATGGCCTACAAGACCGTCTTGCGGAATTGGAAAGGCACATCGCCGACACCAACACTAATGGCACGAACGGCACTGCCACTAAGTCGCCAACCCCAGATCTAGTCACTCAAGTCCGCAAAACCCTCCAGCCCGACCTTGACGCCCTCAACCGCGCCGTCCGCCGCTACGAAAAACGTGCCACCCTCCTCTCCCTCCAAACCGAGTCCCGCCTCCAGGATCTCGAAAAGCGCCTAGGTGACGCGATAACTCTTGCTGCAGCCGCAGAACGCAGCTCACAGTCTTCTCGCCAACGGAGAGGAAGCGGTGTCGGTCTGGTGTTCGATTTGTTCGATGATATGGCGGCAGTGGCGTCGTTGCCGATACAGATTTGCTGGACGGTAGTGACTTTGCCCTGGAGAGCCGTTGCATCACTCATGGGATCAGTGGCGGCAGGGGCGGAAGGTTGGGTAGGGAAGAAAGTTAAGAGGGAGATGAGGACTGCGGGCGTTGTTGAAAAAAGAGTAGGCAGTGGGATTGAGAAGAGGAGGTTGCAGGGGAGAGCGGGGAAGAAGCTGATGTGACTTGTATTACCAAAAGGAGTTGGCCAGGGGCCGTGGATGAAAAGAATCTTTCATGCTGGCAGCATAGAGAAAAGCAACGGGTGGTGCTACTGCAAGGGACATTTAACGAAAAGCCTACGGGGGAAAGTCCTGAGGATGGGCAGGGCAATTACGTTGCTTTATGATTACATGTGTTACGGACACACCCTCTTACGACGAACTGTACCACTGTATACCATTGTACTTATAAAAAACATTAGATTATCAAAAATGCATAGTTAAACAACGTACTACTACCACTACTACTATAAAGCCATAGATGATGCTACTCCATCCACACGCGTGTCTACTGAACCCACTCTATGAAAAGACAACCACGTCATCCTCCCAAGTGCGCACATGGATATCAGATGCGCATGAAAACCCCTCCCCAAAACCGGCAGTGGATACGCTTAGATCGGAAGGTCCACTCTCCGCCCACTATCGATCCCCGACCCCGTTCCCAATCCCATCCCCAGCGTCTCATTCCCAATGTCGTGTGGCTATTGAAAGGAGAAAAAAGGGGAAAAAGGGGAGGGGGGAGTATCACGGACGGTGACGGCAGCAGTTCTGGACCGAGTATGCTGGTCCCTTTTTGACCTATGCTGTTAGGGGGAGGTGGGATTGGGTTAGTCAATCCGATCGCATCGTGTGTCCGTTGCTTGGGGAGGGTGGGAAGGGATACAACACAGATTGGTTGACGGTTTGGTTGATTATATCAAGTGTATGTGTATGTATCTTTGAATATGCTCATGAATATATGGTTCGCGACAACGCCCTCGCTCTGTATCCGGGCCTTTTGCTTCTTTACTATCCGAACGCCGGTGAACGAGTGGGTATATCCAACTGGTGAAACCAGAAAACAGAATCCAGACTCCGTAAACTCGAAATCAGAACCAAACTAAAAATATCAAGATCAAACGTGGAGCAATCTGGAAGGAACGTGACAGAGTCAGGCAAGACTTTTGTTCGCCTCCGCCTGCATCTTCCGCATCTGCTGCTGGTGCAGCTCCATCATACTGCTTTGTCTCATACCGCGGTCCATGACATTTTGTGTCACGGTCTGGTTGACCCTTTGCTCTTGCCTGCTGCTACTCTCACGCCGCTTCTCGGCTAGGAGATTCGCGCGGCGGGCTTCGATCTCTTGATCACGGTAGTGGGCTGTTTTTGATGCTTGAAGGCTGGCGCGCCATGCTGAAATGGTGGAGTCACGAGGCGTGGCTGAGGGACGCCTGAATAAGGGTTGCGGTGTTGAAGAGGGGCCGTTGCGGGAGTGGATGGGCGTAGTTGCGCCATTGTGGGAGTAGATTGGCGTGGTTGCACCTGAGCTTGGGCCGGAAGATGAGCGGTGCCATTGAGGAATAGAGTATGGATTCTGTTGGAGGAGGGTTTTCCGCTGCGAGAGGGAAATGTTGTCGTCTTCCTTCAGGCCGCGCAATGCTGGGTGCTGCTCTTGGGTAGTGCTCGATGCGCTGGTCCGCAGAAGGGATGTAGAAGATGGTCTGTTGTGAAGCATGCTGTCGCGTTGAGACATCAGGTGCGTCGAGGAGGGAGTAAAGCGAATTGGGAAGGAGGCTTCGACGCCTTCTTCTATTGGAGACTCGATCAGTGGTGAGCTCATTATGGGACTTGAGGTGCTGCGAAATCCGCGGGCAGAGGGGACGGATGATTGGGGAGAGCGGAATTTGGGGAGAGGTGGCCGATATTGTTCTCTGCGGCTTTGAGTGCTACTGAGGGATGTTTGCGACGGGGATCGTTCCATGCTGTTTGCTAGGGATTTCTGGGAGGGCGTTCTTTCCATAGCTTTTTCGCGGGTTAGTTGATGCACAGCTGGTTTGAGCTGTTGCGTATCCTGCTGTCTGTGGAACGGGTTCTTGGATTTGAAGTAGCCCGCGGGCCTCTCACCTAAATTGTGCGTTTTGACGGTCAGGATTGAAGCCGGTTCCGCGTTTTGTGGCGTCTGCTGCAAAGCGCGGATATCTACTGGTGCAACACGCTCGATTGGCTGCGACGCGTCTGGAGCTCGGGTTTTCGTAAACTTGAGCTCATCAATCTCTGGCAAATCCGCTCCATCTAGATGCTTCGCCCATTCATTAGTCCTATAGGCCGTCACCAATCTTGAAGCGCCTCCGGGTAAATTCATACTGAGAAGATTATTTCTGGGTTCAGGTGCCTCTGACTCCGCTGCAATATTCGCTTCCAATTCCATGTTTGGCTCCTCGGCGGTCGATCGTGCGTCCGTGATACTGGCAATTTCAGAGTCTGGTAAAGCTACAGACTCTGGCCGGGGATCTATCGACCGATTGACGTGCTGGGCCTCCTTGGCTTGGCTATCGCCTGATGCCATTTTGTCTGCGCTCTGTCCTGGCGGTTTCTCTGCATCTTTTCCGAGATTTGCACTCCGGTCTGCTCCCTGCATCAGTGCTTGCATAGAGTCTTGCTTTCTGAGAATCTCAAAAGATGGCTTCTGATCTCTCACTAAAAGCGCTTCTTCCTCAGAGTCATTTTCCTCGGATACGTCATCAATAGTCGCGGCTACCGACGAGGCTCGGTCAACGTCGGGCTCTGGAATCATCAAGGCTTCCTCCGACGTGCTTGCAGCGATGAAGCTTCGTTGTGACTTTTTGGACAGCTGTCGTACGATAGACGTGCCTGATAATCTCTTGAGCCATCTGTCGGTCACGTGCTCCGAAGCAGCAGATGCGGCAACTGAAGAGCGTCCATCTTCGCTTCCAGAATCGGGATCCGGCGCTTTAAACGGCAGGTGTGTGATTTTTGGCTTCAGAGTAAGCTTCTGGTCTACCGACTTGAGTGCTGCAGCATTTCCGAGAGACGCCGAGGAGCAGAACGGTTGTGATGTACCAGTCTGAGACTCGTGGATGGAAAGCTCTCTGGATTCTCCTCTTGAGCGTGCCAAATGCTGACCAGTAGCAGAATGGGTAGGGGAAATTTCATCATCCTTGATGACGTGAATTGTGACTCTTTCACCTTTCTTTGGACTGTTTGGAGAAGCGTCCATTTCTTGCAGTTCAATGCCCTCAGAATCCGAGCGTCGGACATCTGAAGTTCCAACAAGGCTCAACGAGCCCTTTCGAATACTCAGCTCATCCGTTCCAATGCCAGAGTCCAGATGCTGAGGTTTGCTTCTTTCACGATCACCATAGGCAGCTTCCCACGAGCTTCGTTCTCGCTTGATACCATCCTCAACCCGCCTCCCATGCTCTTCATCAGCCACATTCCTCTCCTCGTCTCTTCTTCTTTGCTCTCTTGCCTTCTCTTCCTTTCGTCTCCTGACTATTTTCCAGACCTTCATTTGAGACATGACGCCCATCGCGCAGACAATGACAATCGCTCCAGTCTCGACTTGTATGCCGCGGGTGATAGGATATGGGCTGTCGTAGTGGAGAGGGAATATCTCATTGTTAATATCTGTGTTCGATCGTAAGGTTACTATTGTGACTCGGCTTGAAAGGGAAGGTCGGCAACCTACTCCAGATGTATAGCCAAAACTCCTTGAGACCTGCACGACTAAAGCAGTCAATGCCGAGGACGATTGCAGTAGCTCCAGCGAAAGATGTTGATCCGATCAAGCCGTATGGTCGAGTATAACGGCTGATATACAGAGCTGGGGCACCAACGGTCAAGCAGGAAATGAAAATAATCTTTCCAGTTGTGTTGGGAATCGTCCCTCCAGGTCTAAGAACCAAGAACCACATGCTAAAGCAGAAGCCGCCAAGAAAGCAGCTAATACCTTCCGTAACATCTTTGAATAGGAGGGAACCGCCTCCGGCTATCAAGCCAGTAACGCATGCAGCCACAACATAGGCGCCTTGGGCGGCATTGGAGACCGGGGTATGCATCACAAATTCGATCAGTATCGTGACTGCCAAGGCGAAAATGTAGGCAGTCGAGAGGAAGATGTGGAGCCATAGGGTCTTGATGCCGACAAGGGCATAGAGGGCGCCAGTGAGTATCAAGATGGGTCCTACAACAGCCAAGGCTGGCGTAATTTTCGGGTGTATGGGGAGCCCTTCGATCTTAGGCGTAGTGGTACCATTGACATTGAGTGAGCCTTTCACGATTGGCGTAGCCGTTATGAATGCCGTGGACCCCGATGCTGCGGCGTTGGTAGCTTTCACTGGGGTTCGCGAAGTGCTGCTCATTCCATCTGATAAGGCATTGGGCGTAGCTTCACTAGGCGAAGATGTTGTGGAGTGGGTTGTCGAAGCAGCCGCTGCATCTTTGGTGGGAGTGGTAGCTTCTCGTGGGAGCACTGCATATCGTTGAGCTGTGGTTGTAGGGCAGTCTTTAACCAAGAGTATGGCCGAGATGGCTAAGTAAAGCCATTTGGCTCGCATGGCGGCAGCTTTTAGGCGGAAGGTTTGGAAAGGCAGGATACAGCGATGTCTATGGCCCAAAGCTTCTTTTCATTTTGTCCATGGACGCAGCAGAGTAAGTGATGTTTGGTAATGACGCCGTGCCTTGCAGCATCTGTAGCAGCAGTTCTTATAGTCATCGGACGTGGACAATGAAAAGAAGCTCGAGAGCGATGAAGAGGTGTTCATCAGAGAGAAAGGTATGGTACGCAGAGGGAAAATAAAGTGAAGAATAGAACGAGATGCAACGGGTAGCCCAAGATCTGCAGTATAGGAAAATGACGCCCACAAAGGCTGGGCTACAGAAATGAAATCCATGTCCCGCATTGCAGGGGTGGATGTTGTAGTGTGTGGAGTGAAGAGGCTCTCGTCTTGCATGAGGCTATGAGAAGATGCCATCTCCTCCTAAAGGCTGATAGTAGTATGAGCGGACTCAGCGGTGAGCCGGGGTTGACTGATCGACTTGTCTTCTTGGGCTTGGTGGCACGGGAGCCATGAACACGTTTTCCCTCTTTGGATGTTTTTGGACTGTTTTTCCCTGGACCCCCTCGGACCCTACGCGGCTGGGGTTTGAGCAAGGAAATTTGATGCATTTGATGCTTTTGATGCTCTGCCTTTCATGCACTCGATGCAATCTCGGAAAGGTCGGAGATCACCCCACACCTTTAATTTCCAGAAACGCAGAGTCATCAACCTTTTGGTTGGCGACACGGTCTTGAGCGTGTCGCTGTGGTGCAAAGTAAGACCTTCCAATCGGTGACTTGGTCCAAATTACCGTAGATGGATAAAGAGTGTAGGTACCTAGGTATGCAAGCACAAGCACACAAGCACTAGCATCGTCATTGGAGGAAGCTGTGCTGTGCTGTCCAAACCCTGGAAAAAGACATTGCAATTACGCCAAGTGGAATGGCGTGTTCAGGGGCCTGGTTTTGGAGCTTACTACTCTTGTAGAGCTTTAATTTTAAAGAGATTCGATGAAGAAACGAAGGAATAGTAGTTATAAACGTGTTTTGCTATAAGATAACTATTTAATATCATATTTTCAAGTGGAGAAGAAATCGTAGAATAATACGCTCTTATTAGTTCGAGTACTTTTAAGTTAAATTAAGCCGTAGTCTTTAATTCTTAGATTAATATTAAATAGATTTCTTCTTAAGATATTATATTTACGAAATCGCTATAGAGTACTAGACGATAATAGCGAGATCGAATAGTAACGCGATATATCTTTAAAAGATCTTTATAAATAAGGTAATAAGAGTAACGTGCTCGATAAGCTTTACGTAAAGTAATCGTTGAATAGTAAAGGTCTAAGTAATCGATTTTTAAATATAAAAAAATAAGGCCTTAGAGGGCTTTCTAAAGACTTCGAATAAATCTAAATCGTTTAAAAATACGATATTCGATATTCGAGGTTCTATCGATCGTCTATTAATATTATAAGTAGAGTATCTTCTATTATTTAAAATAGATATATATAAGCCTTCTATAAGCCTTTCTATAAGCCTTTCTATAGGCCTTTCTATAAGCCTTTCTATAGGCCTTCCTATAGACCTTCCTATAGGCCTTTCTATAAGCCTTCCTATAGGCCTTTCTATAGACCTTTCTATAGGCCTTCCTATAAGCCTTTCTATAAGCCTTTCTATAAGCCTTTCTATAAGTCTTCTTAGTCTGAAATAGACGTATATATATAAGCCTCGCTATATTAATCGATTATCGAGTAGTTAATTTAGAAGATTAAGAAAAGAACTTATTAATCTATAGTCTCACTGTAGCAAAAAATTATATTTCTCTTTCTTTCCCTCTGTTAATGACTTTATTAATAACTTTATCAAAGACTTTAAAGTCTTTCGAAGAGATTTCTAAGAAGAAACGTTTAAAGATTGCACTTAATAAGTATAATTAAGCTCTTTTAGTCTATAAGAATAGCTTAGACTCTTAATAAAAGAAGTCTACTACTAAATTAATTATATTATATTATAAAGTTACTTCTTCTACTCTTAGACGATATATCGCTAATAGTTATTCTTATTAAAAATTAGCTAAAGATTAATAGCGATTAAATTCTATAGAGGAGAAAGCTTTAAAGATATAGATTTAATAAGTAGTAGAGTAAGATTAATCTTTTAAAGTTAATCTTATTTATTATATAGCTAGTAAAATACTAGTAGTAAAGAAAGATAAAGAAGAATTAGATATAAATTAAATAGCTAGTTTCATAAATCGTTATTTAGATCTATAGAGTTAATTTAATTAGTCTTTAAATAAAGAATATACTATAATTTATAATATAAGAAAGTTATTATAATGATTTCAGCTTATTAAGTTAGTAATTTAGAAGTATAATATTTAGATAAAAGATACGTATAATATAAATAAGAAAGAAACTACTCTTAATACTACTAGTAAAGTATAAGTTATATACTCTAAGTATAATATATATATATATATAGCTATTAGCCGAAAAGATATAATATAATATAAAATATTAATCTATTATATTATACTCTAATATAATATAAGTTATTAAGATTTATATAATTCTATATCTAATATAGTATAAGATCTTAACAAAATATTCCACGATATGATATATCTATAGTATTATATTATGAAATAGTATATATATAAGATATTTCGATTAAGATTTCTATATTTAGAAGTAGATATTCTAATTATTATTCTAATTAACGATTACGCTAAATTAATAAAGTATAGAATTAAATGCGATTATGTGAGGATGGTTCGGCTATCACTGGGCCATAGACTAAAAGGATCGGGGGTATCGCGCTTCATGGCCGATACGCCTTATTTGGCTCTATAAGAGCCTGCTATACCCCCGCTGTAGACTGTTAGAGCGATCACGCTCTTATAACTATCCCCCTTAAGGCTACGTCCTCGCGGCCCTAAAAAGAACTGATTCGAGGGCTTTGCCCTGATTAGCGGCCCCCGCAGAGCCGACTTGGGGCGCAGTGCGCCACTCTTGCCCGGTTGTCCGGGGACTTCTTGCCTCAGAGGTCCCTATGAGATATGAGATACGTTATAGGGACCCTTTCGGGGTATGTGCCTCGGTACTTGTGTACCGGGATTGCTTGCCTTAGAGGTCCCTATGGGATATGAGATACGTCATAGGGACCCTTTCGGGGTATATGCCTCGGTACTGGTGTACCGAGGTTCGGTTACCGAAAGCCTTAGGGTATGGAACTGTACCGCTCCTGGGAGCCGGTACCCGATAAATCTGGAACTTTTGCCCTCTGGAAAATGTTTTTCGCCCTGTACATGACGGGGTCGAACCCTCGAAATCGGGAAATCAGCGGATATACCCCGCAGTGGCTAGCCTTCCCGGGGTTAGCCAAGCCCCGGAATTTCAGCGCGATACAGTTGTGAGGATGGTTCGGCTACCACTGGGCCATAGGCCAAAAGGATCGGGGGTATCGCGCTTTATGGCCGATACGCCCTATTTGGCTCTATAAGAGCCTGCTATACCCCCGCTATAGACTGTTAGAGCGATCACGCCCTTACAGATTATATTTTATTACTTTATATATATAAAAGAAAGCGAGCTATATCTACTAGTAATAAGAAAAGCTTATTTTTCTCTAGTATTAGTCGCGCGAAATTCGCTAACACTTCGTAATTAAAGCCGTCGACGATGATTTTATACGCCTATTACATATTTTCGATATCGCTATCTAATATAAAATTATACGTATTATAGTTATAGCCTTTTTACTAAATCGTTAACTTAGAAAAGTTAATATATTTCTTAATATTCTCTCGAAAGTATCGCAGTTTAATATAATAAGCTATATTTCTTTAAGCTATCTTCTCGCGATATATAAAAAAAGATTAGATATAGAAAGTATATAAAAGTATATTTAATAATTCTAGAACGAATTAACGATACTTATAATAATAATTAGAATTAAGAATTAGATATACTCGAATAAGAGATAATTTTATATTACTTATATAATAATAATAGTAGTAATTAAGATTAAAATATTAACTTAAATAGCGTAGCTTTCGTAATAAATTTTTTATTATTATACGTTAGATTAATTATATATAAATAAAGATTTATAATTTTATCTTTTAGACGTAATTATATTTAATATTTTAAGATTTCTATAATAGCTCGATATTTATTAATTAGCGCGTTAATATTATTATATCTAAACTATAATAGCGCTTATTATTAAATTTTATATTACGCTCTTAAATAGCTTAAAAAATAAGATCTACTTAATTATTAGCGCGTATAATAGAATTATTCTTAATACTTATATTTTATTTAACTTCGATATTATCTATTTCCTCTTAATTTAAGCTTTTATCTTTATTTACGTATATAATAATTTACGCGATAAACGAAACTTTAAACTTCTTCGTAATTACGCTCGCGTACTTTTTTTATATAATATTATTAAAATATAAGTCTACTAGAACGATAAACTAAAACTAAAAACTACTTATTACTTATCTATTATATCTTATCTAATCTATTTAAAAACTTATTTCTATTATAATAACGATATATTAATATATTTAACTTTATACTTTTTAATAATTATAGTATAGTTAATAGCTAAAATATCAATTTTCTTTACTTTTTTAACTAGTTTCTCCTTAAACGTAAATATATTTATTCGCTATCGCGATCTCTTAATATTTTTATTTTAACTAAGCTTATTCTTCGTTTTTTATTTTAATTAAAAACTTAATCGTTATCTAATTAACCTATATTAAGACTCTTTAATATCGCTATCGTTATTAATATTTAATACTTATTATAATAAATTATTAAACTTAATCTCTTCTATTTTAATTATTATAAAAAGATAAATTAATAGATATATATAAAAGAATATAAAGGGCTTATACGAATATCTATAAATACTAAGCTATTCTTAATTTTAATTAAAGCTTATTTTACTAAAAAGTGCGTTAATTCTACTATAACGATATTATATCTTTTATAG